AAAAAATGAAAACTTAATCAATTTAAGTATTATTTCTGAATTAAATTTGAAAATTTCATTCATAAAAATCAGTTGGATCCAAAATATAATTTGGAATAAGAGGAAGGAAAATAGTTGGTAGTAGAATTCGGTAATAGAATTTTTTTTTTAGTATTCATCTGTTGTTAAAGTAAATAATGCATGGAAAGACATTATAAAACTATTGTTCCATGTTTTACTGCTTCACAGCAATACAGAAAATTAAGTAAAATTATATCGCCGAATTATTCTACTACAATCCAAATCTTCTTGCTGACTCCAAAAAAATAAAAAGCAATGCAAGATAACATCAGAAAATACAAAATCTAATATTATATAACATCAAAACTAATGCAAAATAATATTACGGCGAAAGCTAGATAATATTAGTTTGCATAGAATCTAATATTATATAATGCAGAGCAAACAGCGACTTCTTGTATCTTTCTATTATTAGAAGTTGAGCAAGATAACGTTAGATTTTACCGATTTTCTGATGTTATCTAATATTAGGTGCTACTTGGGTCCTCGGCTAAAAACATTTAACGACTTTTTATTGTAAGCCAATAATTAAATAAGTAGTTCAAAAATAGTTTTATGATGGATGAAGATACGACGGCAACCCAGCAAAATGATTAGATCTAAATTGTATGATAATGGAATCGAAAACAAAACCTGTGGTACCAATTCTGTATTAAAACTTTGTTGAAATTGTTCCCTTTCTATTTAAACGTTTTTTCATTGAATTTAGATGTAAAGCTAAAACAGGGTTCGTACGTACCTGAAAAGAATTAAAAAATGGTATGATAAAACAAAAACAAAAAAAAATTATGATAGCATTATTAACACTTTTTAATATTTTCCAGGTGCGTATGAACCCGCAAACTGAACAGGAAGTGAGAGTTGAGTACCTGAAAACTTCATTGAAAAGTAGAAAAATAGATTTTGGTTTGCCTTTTTAAGTTTTCCTGGTGATTAACTATTCAAATTATTGGTGTTCGCATGATAATCAATCACTATTTGTAGAAGGAAAACCAAAATACACACTTTATACAAAGAGAATATATTTATTTTAAAAAATATATAAGGCAATACTATTTATTCTTAGCCTTTTTTTTAAATACAATTTATAAAATGTAAGAACTTCAAGGACCCCATGAGTGCCCAGGACCCTGAGCCCCGGGTGTGCCCATGCATAAGGAGGCACTGTTTCTAGGTGGTCTATTCATTTTGTAATGTAAATTGTTGGCTTTATTAGCATATATTAATCGGGATACTCAAATAACAAAAATGGACTTTTTATGTGTAAAAGTGACAAGTTGATTATTAGATCAAAAGTAATTTCGGGATTTATTTTTCATTTTAATATTATTATTATTATTTTCCTTTTGTAATTTCCATTTTGAACTTGTAGAGCAAAGTAAAATTCGGAGCAACTAAATAATTTTTAAGTTCGAGGGTCTAAACTTAAAGAGGCTAATTAATTTGAGCAGACGATAATTTAAGTTGCGAAATCGCGAACAAAACGATACTTTGTCTAAATGGCCATATTCAACGGATTTGAATACGTGACCCTCAAGAGCACACAATTGTAAAGACCATCTAAGATAATTTAAAAAATATATAATTGTTGAATATACTTTTTATTACTATTAATTAGACTTTTTAAAATGCTAGGTAAGCATATTCGTACCTAATTAATTTTGAATTACGAAATTACAAAATTTGAGTGAAATCGACTAAATTCTTGATTTAATATTATGAATCTTATTTAATATTATATATTATTTCACAGCTACTATTTTCGTTTTCAAATTTCGGATTTTTATTTATAATTTTTCCATGAAATTATGGATTTTTAATTTAAAATTGCGATATTAAAAAACTATTATTAAATTAATAAAAAATAATTATAAAAAAAAGTTTTTTTGTTGTTGTTGTATAGAATGCTTTTTAATTACCGAGTTTTTTCTTTTAACTGTGCTCAAAAAGCCTTAATTAAATCTAGGGGTAAGGTGTTAGTTCAAGGGATAATTTTGTATCCTTACCATAAGCAGCGCTTCGATGGCGCAGTCGTTTAAAGCCTCGCTCACGCCGCTGGTTGGAGAGTTAGGATAGTGAGTTCGATCCTGTCAACCGACATAACTACCTTAAATCTGTCGTGGCTGAAATTCCTCGTGTTGGCTTTGGTGTGAAAAATTTGGAAACGTGCACCAGCTCAGGCGTTGTCCACGTCGGCTGAACAGGGTCACATTTATGTGGCTTTCCTATTATGGCCTTTCAAGGATAGAGCCTTAAAAATGGGGCTAGGTGTTTGGCCAAGTGTCATGACCAGAAATACCCTGACTATCTCTCGTGTGGATTAATTTATGAAGATAAATGTGGAAATGTTTTCAAATTTATTTCCCTCTTTGGTAGTTTACATCTGCCTGACTTGGTGGTCCCGGATGGAGGCCTAGGCTGTATAGCTCCTACATGCCATCTACTACATCTGTAGTAGGACATCCTCTTACAGTCATAAGACTCTGAATTTAGTTAAGAGAACGCCATACCACGGGAGAAATTTTTCGTTGCAAATTCTCCTTCTTCTCCATAACAAATTTAAAATAATGAAAATGTGAGTCCAGACAAACCTACAGTAAGCCACGAAGTTTCAAATACTGAAAAGAAATTTTTAAAATATGAAAAGAAAAAAAAATAATCATGAGAAGGTAACTCAGAATAGAGAAGTTCTGTTCTAATAATTTGCTTTCATTTTGATATTTTCATTCCCCTCCCCCCCAGGGATTAAAACTTCATGCCTTACTTAAGGTTTCTGTCTGAACTCACTTTTTCTTTACTTTAAATTAGTTATGGAGGGAAAAGAGAATTTGCGACGAATGAATTCTCCCGTAGTATGGCGTACTTGAATGAATTTAAATGGAGAGGAAAGAGAATTTGCGACAAAAAGTTTCTCGCGTGCTATGGCGTCCTCTTAATGAATCTAAATCACCGTACCTGACATTTTGAAAACTCATCTATTATATTGCTCTGTATTTGTTGTAGTTCATTTACGTCGCACTAGATTTGCGTAATGGGCTACTGGCGACCGTCTGGGAAACATCCCTGAGGATGATCCGAAGAAATGTCATCGCAATTTTGATCCTCTGCAGAGGGGATGGTACCTCCGACCTGCACGCGAAGTCGAGCACTTTACGGTAGAACAGTTTAACGAGGACCCCTACGCAGACTAATCCAAGTGGTCACCCACCCACACACTGACCGCAGTCACTCTATATTACAATTAAATACAAACTTTTGCTTGGAAAATGTTGGTGTATATTGTGTTGCATGCCATCTGATATCTTTATTGTAATAGGTTTTCTTAATATGATATAGATTTATTGCAATAGGATATATATATATATTTCTTTTTTGCAATAGGTTTTTCAAATATTAATTATAGTATGTGTTTCCCAAAAATTGCTTGAAAAATATTGGTGCATATTGTGTTGCATACTTTCTGATATTTCAATAGACAGGTATTTTTTTTTTTGTAATAAGTTTTTTAAACACAAATTACTGTATAGCTTGATGTCAATTATCATAATTTCGAATTTATAAATAGTATAGTCAAGATAAATGAATTATATTTCATTCACAACTGTTATTTTTCTCCATTTTGATTCTGCATACTTATTTTGCTTTAACTAAACAGGCTACTTTTTAAAACTTTATTTTGGCCTGTGGCTGTTCTTAAAACTTCTTTTTTGAGTCGCTAGAAATCATTTTCATCTAGAACTTTGATTTGTTTCCACAATCTATCCAACCAACGTTGAAATCTAATAACAATAGTGTAGTGATAAAAAACTTTCCTCCTTCCTTTTTGATTCATGTTTGATTCAATTAATTGGTTTCGTTGTAGAATATTTTCTCTGGAAGGACATGTATATAATTAAATCTTTTTTAACACGAAGTTGTTTATTGCTTTTTTTAAAAAATTTAATTTTGAATAGTAATTTTTAGTTGATGCTAGATTTTTTTTCCGTTTCATTATTTTGCGTCATATGAATGGTTGTTTCAGATGAAAATTCTAATAAATTTTACTCTCTCTCCCAACAAGTTAAAAATACTGAGAAAACAAGGAAAAAGATGTAAAGACTTTTTAAAGGAGAAGAAAAAATTATTAAAAAAAAAAATTGGAAAAGAAAATAAGGAAAAAAAAACTTTTCCTTACTTTATTTTAAGGAAAAGATATATATTTTATAAAAGTTAGGATAAATAATATATAAGGAAAATATTTATTCTTTTCTTACTTAATTTTAAATTTTTTTTTTTGTAAATATTTCTTTAAAAATATTTTCTAATATTTTTTTCTTTTCCTCTAAAAAAATATTTTTCCCTGTTTTCTTTATATTTTTAACTTATTTTATAAGTTCTATGCACTTGCAGCTTATGAGCAGTGAATAAAATATTTTTCTTAATTTTCTTCGGTAATCTCTGTTTTCTATTATCATTTTTGTCTTTATTATTAGTGTATATATATATGCATACACTCACAAATTATCTAGTCTTAGGAGAAACAACTGGAAGACTATTTTGCAATATACATACATTTACACTGTATTTTAAAAACAAGAATCTTTACTTATAGAACTACATGTATATTTAATTTATAATTATATCCAAGCATTCATAAGGTTTTATTCATCTCCAAAAATAGAGAATTTATGTTGTAATTTTCTTGCCACTTTTTTTGTTGTTGCCTTCATCAAGAACTAAGATCTGAGAACTCTCAAAGATTTTTTAACAGTGGTAGGTTAAGCATAAAAAAATAAGTGATAATGTAATTTTTCATGATTGAAACAATATTTAACCAAGTAGTTACATGTCTTTTCACATCAAACACGCCTTGATATGGTACATAATATTACAAAATAAGTTATAATTAATTTAAAAAGAAGAAACTGAAACTCCTACAGTAAAGAAAACAAATCAAAAAGTCTAGTTTATATTTTTTAATGTAAAAAATGAATTATGATGGTTAGAATACAGCAACATTCTTTTGGCTATTAGACATTTTTCTTTAACACATCTTTTTTAAGTGAGGCAACAATTCCCCAACAGGGACGTACATATACAATATTAACCGTAATACAGATAAAATCACTTTACATATCTTGTAATGTTTATTTTCTACTCTAGATGTTAAGCTGTGAAAAAAATATAAACCAAACAACAAAACATTAACAAAAACACAACATTTTATTTTTATGATAATCTAAAGCACTACATACAAAAAAAAGAGACACATTAAATCTAAAAGATACCAGTAGATGTTTTTTCATCACATAATCTGAAACAAACTGCTAGGCCATTAAATGCCTTCAACAGATTAAATTGTTTTTTTTTAGGGAGCAAAAATTGATCATGCTAAGGCACGCATATTATTAATTACAATTTTAAAAATAAACTGTCTATTCACTAACCGCACTGTACTTTGATAAGTGTATCAAATTCGGAAAATAATCCGACAAAAAGAATTTAAAAACATTTCTAAGAACTCCAATAAAATTTAAATTATTGCAAATTTTATGTGCTTTCCTTCTAAATTCCATTGGATAACCCATCACTAATGACAATCATGCCTAGGGGTCAGGCACATGATAATAAAACATATACTTTTTAACTACTTAATCACAATAAAATGTATAAATTGAAGAATAAAATAAAACTTATAAACTTATCAAGTAGCTCAAATGAATATATAGAAATATTTTTTTAATTGAATTTTGTACTAGAGACCTTCTATTTTTAACTTTTAGTAAATTACCCAAATTATGAGTTTTTCCTTTTACTTTGCTTGCTACTCAAAATTTTGTCAAATTTTTGTAGGATTTAAAAAGTTCAAACATTTAACAGCGAAAACTGCATCATAATACAAATTTATAACTACTTACTGACTAAAACTCATTCCCTTTTTTTTCTATATTATTGTTTAAATTAAAACCATCTTACTCAAAAATAAACAATTATGTGAAATTAATATTAGGCAGGTAGGTATTATTATTCACGTCGCACTAGAGCTGCACAATGGACTATTGGCGACAGTCTGGGAAACATTCCTAAAGATGATCCGAAGACATGCCATCACAATTTTGCTCCTCTGAAAGGAGGATTGCTCCTCCGCCATAGTAACTCAACGACCTGGGCGCGAAGTCTAGCACTTTACAGTGAAACAGTTCAGAGAGGAACAATACCGTGCACCCTCAGTCCCTACACAGGCAGATCAAAGTGTTCACCCACCCGCTTACTGACCGCAGCTAGTGGTGCTTGACTTCGGTGTTCTACTGGGGAAAAATGAATTAATATTAAAACCCTGCTTCTTAATTTCATTTGGATAACTAATTTTATTATTACAAACTTTATTAGAGGAAATAAGGAGCTGCCTTGCCAACACTTGCCATTGTTTTTAAAGCTGCCACTAATAGCATTATCAGAACATGATTTAATGAGTAGGTACTTCTTGCTCAGTTTAAAAATGGAAGAAAAAAAATATTCAACAGGGATTTGTGCACATTATAGACCTGACAAAGATTTGATTATCAACACAAATATAATAATAATAATATATTGAAAAAAAAAACTAGTCATGACCCAGCATATTCATCATAAGCTTGTGCAATAATTCAGGTAAAATTAAATGATTATGAGGACACACATTACTCATTCATTAGTACAGACTTACATAAATTGCAACTATTTCTTTAGGAAGTTTGATGAATCCTAGGAGACACTAAAAGAAACCTTTTGAAACATTACGACATGGCCAGTAGTAGAAACCTCCGTATTCTTCTGCAATGAGATGGAAAACTTCTAGGATTCATCAGCCGAACCAATGACAAATACTTATGACTCTCAGTCAAAAATAAACCAGCAGTTTCTGCCATCATGATGCCTTAATTCTGTTACAGAGGCTTCATGTGAATTTAAATGAATAACATTTATGAATAACAATAATGAATAACATTAACTAGTGGCTTCAATAAAGCAAATCTGAATAATGCATGGAAATACATAATACATGGAAAAAAAATCAGAATATCGATTAAGTGTTAATAACAACAGACTAAAGGACTCATTTAATAGCTTTTAATATTTAAGGATTAAATCTTTTAATATTTTGAACACATTTTTTTTTATTTCTGTAAATATAGCTATTAATAATTTTCAAGTAACAACATATGCAGTACAATGCATCTAAATTTACATTTTCTTTCCTTACTTTAAAAAATATTTATAAAACAGAAAATATTAATGAAATTAACAAGTAGTTTTAAAGGGGTATAACATAATGTACAATTAATTTATCCTTATTTATATAGAGCTTATTATATCATTAATGCCTTAGGTCTTTAGTAATCTATCATTGCAAAACTGAACACATTTTTCCCCCAAATATAAGTAAGTAGTACCATTAAGAGAAATGAGAACAATGAATGAAAAATACACTTCTAAATAAAGACTAAATATATTAAAAAACATAAAACAAACAGCAGACAAAAAAAAAATTTCCATCAATACTTTCAATTAGTTAACATTAAAACAAACTTGTGACTATACATTACATGAATTAATCAACTTGATATGTATGAAGCAAAACTTTTAAGTGATTATTTCTTGGTCGAATAAACAAATTGCATTGACAAAATGTAATAACAAATGATACTAAATTATGAAATGAAATTAACAAAACAAACAAAATAAACACTAAAAAAAACGTAAATAATGATCCCTAATTTAAACACTAATTCCATACAGAGCAAATACTAAAGAAAACTTATCGTTTAAATAGTGGTAAAAGGATTCAGTGTTAAATGGAAAGATAATCCAAGAAATGAGCACCTTATTTAGGAACAGTTTTGATTTCTCTCAAATTCACAGCAAAAATTTTTTAACATAGAAGTTAATAAACCATATGAGGAAATAAAATCAAATAACTCTACAGTTAACATAAAAGACAAGAAGTAATGTAAATTTAAAAAAGCTCATATGGGTATCTTAAAACATTCATATTCAGTCAAAGCTTTAATTGTCTTCTTTTAAGCATTATGAAACTTATCTTATACCCATTACATAAAATTAAGTTTTATATATTTTAAGTTCCAATGATTAATGTTCACACAATGCTAATTGATACAGCTCATATCAGCTAACTGAAATATGATATGCAGAATTAAATTAGAAATTTTAAATATCAATGAATGATAATCTATTATGAAGGAATGATACATTACTAAATCAGGTTATTGTAACTAATTAGGATGAAATCAAAGTTACTAAGAACTGCTATTTTTTGCTTTGTGCAACAAATAATTAAGTATCTATTATATTTAGTGAATGTATCCAGTAGAACCTACTTAAGTTATCAAATAGCAAATATAACATCACAGATAACACACATTTCAGTAGGGAATTCATGCATTAAAAATTATAAAAAAAGTTCACGATTTTGTAAAAATCTATTGAAGCAATTTTTGAAACTAAATGACAAACCTTTAAAGTTTCAACAGTTTCATAATAAAAAAATTCGCAAATAGAACAGACTAGTACATTTAAAATGAATCACAGATAAAATTCAATATATGGGCAGGCAGAATAATTTTTCGTTATATATATATATTTTTCAGTAAAGATGAAACATAATTAAATAAATGTCCATAAATATTAATTCAGTGTTGCTTAGCAGACTTTACCAGACTAAAAAGTGAAAAATAGTTAATACGCAACTTTAAGAATACAACGATAAAATACAGCTTTCTTCTTCCACTACTTCACAGGCACAAAATGGCAGTTGTAGCCAAACACATGAATAAATACGCAATACCAGTCAAACAATTAATTACGTTTCAAACATGCTTCTCATGTCAGCCAGAGCTTTCTCAATGTGTCCTTTAAACCTCTCAGAATTCTGTAAAAAAATAAATAAACATTAACATTACATTATCAAATATTAAGTTCAAACATATTTCTTAAATAGGTAGTTTTATGAAAAAAAGAATTTTTATTAGAGATAATATTAATTTTTTTTTAATTAGCTTAAACCTAATGACTATTTGAAAAGATATGACAATATGACAGAATAATTACTGAAATGGTTTTAAAATAAATTAGTGACCTTTCTAAAATTTAATTGCAAAATATAATCTAAAAGTGAATAATCTAATTAAAAAATAAATATAGCAAGGATGAAAATATTTCATTCCATAGTTGTTTCAAAGCAAAGTGAATCAGTTCAAAGAACTCCAAACCTACAAATTGAGAGCAAAATCTGACTAATTGCAAAGATGGACTTCAAACAATAAGGTTAAAGAAAAGAAAAACAGAAGATTAGCCAAAGATTTGTTTTTACACTGCTGCCAGAATTAGAAATCTATAACAAAATTCATCTTTAGTATTTCTTATATGAATATACTAATTGGAGACTTACCTCTTTTAATTAACTCTAATGTTAAAATAAATAATAAAACTAAATTTTAAAACCAATATATTGCATAATTTTAAGCACAAAACAATATAAATAATTATATATTTATAAACTTTAAAAAAAAATTAAAAAACACTTTTTCAACCAGAACAAGGCTGCGGGAAATTTTTGGGGAAATTTCTTATAGCAATAGCTAAATGTATGTTTTGATGCATGATTATTTGTTTTGTAAATTTTATTAAAAGTTATTTTGTACTCTCATACGAAGTCAGTTTTGTACTCTCATCAGTAGTTCATACGAAATGCCTCTTTTTTCCTGCTCTCATGGTGAATCTTTTAAAAGTAGGCAAAATTATAAAAAAATTAAAAGCTTTGATATTTAATTGCCGATCTCTCTATATATTTTGCAAAAGGCATAATGGTAGTTTGCAGCCCTGCAAATAGAGCATTTAAAAAAGAAAATTACAAGTGATTGTTACAAAATAAAAACAAATGCAAATTGGTGACATTTTTTCCTGCTCTCATGGTGAATCTTTTAAAAGTAGGCAAAATTATAAAAAAATTAAAAGCTTTGATATTTAATTGCTGATCATCTCTCTATATATTTTGCAAAAGGCATAATAGTAGTTTGCAGCCCTGCAAATAGAGCATTTAACCCCTTAACTGCCGAGTAAAATTTACGTGATTCACTCCCCAGTGCCACCGTTTTTCGCTCAAGTGAACTTTCTTACGCGGTGTTTCGGTGGGGTAAAATGATGCACGCGTTGCAATTTAAAAACAGTTTACTTTTACAAGACAAGAAAAAGGAAAGAAAGATAATACAAAATTTAAATTAAATAATAAAAATACAATATAAAAGATGTTAAAACTTAGCTGTTGTATGATAAATCCTGAAACATGGTTGTACACATAAACCAACATCACATTCATTGCATTGATAGCGGGATTGACGACGAATTTTTTTCTTGAACAAACAGCACATTTTCGCGATGCATTTGAAGGCGTTGATGGAAAGAATAAAAAGTACCAAATACACGCGGGAAATGAAATCGATAAAAGAATAAATCCGACCTTACTCAAAAAAAGACAAGCAAACGATTAGTACGATATCACTTTTCCATAACATCCTTTTCCCATTCCCCCTTCTCCGAAATTAGTAATATATTTGCAAAGCAAACACTTTCAAGGTCATTTTACTGCATTCTGAAGTAGGGGTGTAGTTCTATTTATAGCAGCGCAATGCAAAGCATCGTACTTCGGGAAAGCGTATATATACGCCTGCGGCAGTTAACACATCGTCTGGCCGAGACGTATATATACGCCCGCGGCAGTTAAGGGGTTAAAAAAGAAAATTACAAGTGATTGTTACAAAATAAAAACAAATGCAAATTGGTGACATTTTTTCAAAAAAAATTTTTTTTTTAAAGAATGTAACATATAATGGTGCACAGATTTAATCAATATATTTTTCCTTTGAAAACATTTTTTTAAATTGTTAATCTAAACATATTGTTATAGTATTATAAAAACAAATTGTTAAAATTGAAAAAAAAAATAAAATAAAAACGAACAAAAACATAAAAAAACAAATTGTTAAAACTGAAAATAGCAACAAACTAATCATATTTTTTGCAGGTAATTTATAAAAAATAAGTTTAAAAATGTTTTTAAGCTCACTGAATAGTTCACAAAAATCATTCATAAATGAATACTGCTGTATTATATTCTTTATAAAGGAAATTATCCAAACGGAATTCAAACGTATACATACTGTTTCAGGTGATGATACTTTGCTAGATATATGAAAGAAAACTGTGTCTTCTCCAGCAATTATATATGACACACCATAACCATCATCTGCAACCTAAAATTGAAAAGCAAAAACTGAGTTAATAAAAAAATAAATAAAATATGTGATTAAGTAGAAAATCAGGTTTAGCAACAGACGGGGATCCAGAAAACTCAAGCAAAGTTTTAGATGGTAAAGATTTCATGTACAACATTCATAATAGCAACTCAATAATAGTTTGGATTCCTGCAGTCACAAAATAAATAAAAACATCTTTTTATCTGCGCAGCACATTTTTTTTACCAATAGTTACCTAGTTGCGTTTATCTTTTTTGAACAATGAATCTTTATCTTCGAGAAATTCTTACTATTAGTTTTCATTTTATAAAATCAAACTAACATGGTTTTAAAAATATGGGTATTTCCCTCAGCCCTTTAGTAGTATTTTTATTTATTAAAAGAATTAATACAGTGCACTCCCGATAATCCGGGTTAATCACCGGGACAGGTCGCACGGACAATCGAAAAACACGGATAATCCGAAAATTCCTTTAATTAAAGACAAATTCAATATCAGTACAAAAAATTACTGACATTTGCATGCATATCATCAAACTAGGAATTTTCCTTATTAAAAAATGTGTAATGAGTCTTCGCTACATATCGATACACATATTTTACGAACAGCAGTAATGTCACTGTAATCAAATCCTCCCATATAATCCAATAAAGTTTCCACAGAGCAGCAGAATGAGAAATTGTATTTCCCTCATTTACTACATCTTCTGCATCAGTTACTATCATCACTATTTGATTTAACAACATAACGATGTCTTCATCAGTCAAATACTGGAAGCCAGGCTCACATGCATCACTTAGAAACCAATCTTCTAAATTTCCATCAAGAATTTCGAAATCTTAGATTTCTTTTGCTTGTTCGAGAATACTGTTATCATATTTTTCTTGAACATCTGAAGAGGATTGTTTATCAAGCGGTATGATCTTTCTCCAAGATCATGATAACGTAGACGATTTTACCTTTGGCTATGCTGCTGATATTCCATATACTGCAATCCAATAACGAATATTGCTTCCAAAAATTTGGTAGTGGTATAACTTCATGAATCAAATATTTTTAATCTTGAAAATGTTTCTGTTTATATTTTTTGTGTGACTCCGGAATGAGTACGGATAATCCGCAAACCGGATAATCCGCGCACGGATAATCGAGAGTGTACTGTATTTATTATTAAAATTAACTTTCATAATTACGTCACAATTATAAAAGGAAGCATCAAATTATTTTTATGCATTTTATAAGTCATTGATACTTTTATTTTAAAACTATAAATCCTTTTGCTTTTATAATTATCATAAAAGAGTCTACTGAACACAAGTGTGTAGAGTAAGGTGGCAAATGGAGTAAACAAGTAAACTGAGGAGCTTAAAAAATTAAATTGCCTTGAATTATAATAAAAAGTCTAAGGTTCAATTTTCTAGAACTGTTAGAAATGATATAACAACAGTTAGAAATGCCATAACAGTTAGAAATGACATAATTTTTATAAATCTACTTACAGGCCCAAATCCTCCACCAGCAGAAATATGATCAGGATATTTTTTCAAATCTATCATATCTGTTTGCCCATGAGGAGTCTAATGAAAGAAAAGAAAATTTCAAAAAATTGATTATTGAATTCAATTTGTATCCTTTTATTATACAAGATACCCATTACAAATACTTTGTATCACTTGCATAAGTATAGTATTGTAAAAGCACAACAATAAATTCAGAATTAACTATTCAAACCAAATGATTTCAAAATTAACTATCTAGCTCAAATTACTAAGCAAATAAAAGTTCACAAACTAAAGTATAATGTTAATTAACTTAGTAAGAGCACCATGTCCAAGAGGTCATGAGTTCAAACCCAAACTGGCCGAAGACTCCCCGTGTAGTAAAGGGTGACTGGTGCACATTAAATTTGTTGGGTCACAAAGTCCTCCATGCTCTTATAAGAATTTACACCTCTAGGGATACGGAATTGGAAATTGATCGTTCTCTGGCTCAGGACAAAATTACGATCCATGGATAAACGAATGGATCTGCCTGATAAAACGGATTGAGACGAATGTGTATGGCAGAAGTCGAATTCTTGGTCATAGATGGTGACACTGGAAAACAAAACGAAGTGCACCACCTTTCCCCAATGTCAATAATATACAATAAACTAGACTTAATGACTAGACTAATATAAATAAACTATATAAAATGACAGGAACAATAAACTTTGAACTCGAAATACTATGATTAAAAAAAAACTATACCTGGCTAGTAGAGAGTTTCCAAGGTTCACTTAATACTTCATTCAAAAATGGAGATTCTACATTGAGGTATCTAGCTACAACATACAGGCAGAACATGTGCCTGTCGATTCCTTTTCCACACATTGCATCCTGATACCCTCTCTGATGCCTCTGGCAAGCTTTACGCAACAAATTAATCTTCTCCTCATTCTAAAAATATAAATAACATTGCTGTAATATAAAGCAAATTAAAAATTTTATAATGAGACAAAAATACTCTTGTTAAAAGAAATAAAAAAACATATACTATTGATAATAGATTATAGAGTAATGAGATAAGAGAGAATAATATATAATAGTAATAATAATAATAGGTAAGAATGACTATAATTAAAAACAAACAATATAATTGATGGATAAAATATAAAAGAGATAATGAGATAAAATTAATAGATAAGAGATTTCTATAATCTATAATAATAGTAATAATAATAATAGGTAAGAGATGACAATGATAAATAAAAACAAATATAATTAGTAGATAAAATAATATATATGAGATAATTAGATTTGAAAAAATATATTTGAGAAACTCAATTAAAAATATAAACATTTTACAACTAATTTATCATTTCCTAATTAAAATAGTATAGCACATCAATTTATGTATTACATTTAACAATTTATTATTAACTGCAAAAGTCAAAAAAGCTTAAAAATACATAGGTTGCTAAAGAACCTTTAACATAAGATTAATTTTTTCTTTTGTAACTAAATATTAAAGGAACAGACAGGTTTATGGGATAAGGTTATTTTTAAGAGCTGTTACCTATGAACAAGTCAGAACTTTATATTAAATTAAAAATTTTAGTGATGTGTTACCAAAGTGTAAGTCCAAACCTAATGATAAAAAACAAAAACAATTTTAATCAGCCATCCTTTATTAAAATCAACTTATTCTTTAAAAAAATCATTAATCAAATTTAAATCAAATGATATATTTTCTTGAAAAAAAAATCACTCATTTGAAAATTTACAAAGCATTTTAATATTAGATTCGTTAAGACTATTGAGTTTCATAGTTTTAAAACTAAATGTAAATATATCGTTGTGTTAATAAGTTTCAATTCGCAAAATTGCATAACTATTTATTGTGAACTAAATAGCAGCATTTTTTTATAATGCAGCAATATAGTTTTAAATTTATTGTTAAAATTTATTTTGAATAATAATTCAATTAGAATTATATTTATAAAACTTAACTAAATATAAAAAAATCAGATCTTATCAAATCAAAAAATATGATTTAAGTAAAATAAAACAAATTTAAATTAAATAAACAGGAAACCTTTTTACAATTTTTAAAAAAAAAAAAACTATCCAATTTTGATTTTAATTAGTTAAATCTAAATAGCAAAAACTATTGGTGCTAAAATTTTCAATATAAGCCAAAATTTTCAATTTTAATCAATAATTTAAAAAAAAGCCAATGCCAAATCATATAATACAATGAAGAATTTACAAAGATAAAATTAAATAGAATAAATTTCACTAATAATCAAATAAAAATTAAATCACATAATATAATATTAGCAATTTATTTTTGAAAAAAATATGAAATGCAACTATGTTTGTTTTCTTAGAAAGATTTTTAAGTTTAACTTCCATGCGAGCTCCAATAACGGCATATAAAATATGGTTTTAATATGATCCACTTTCATGTCTTTAATCTGTAAGTACCATCCTTTAACAGAGAATTACAATTACAATCATAGAATTACAATTGGATTTAACAAAACCATCTTTGAATAGTTAAAACTAATTTGCTTTCATTGAACAAAAAAACAAACATTGTTTTGTCCTGTACCATAGCAACTGGTAAAATTTTCTAGTGAAAGGTTGTCATACCATCTACCGACTTTGGTGAAAGTTAATTAATGTTTAAAGTTTTGTTATCTAAGAGTAATTTAAATTGGTTTTCTTTGAAAATAATAAACATGTATTTACCAAAATTTGTTTTTGTGCCAACATAAAATGCATTCAACAATATTGGACCACACTGTAGCTTAGAAAGGAAGAAAATACTCACTGGTGCATTTGCATCAACCATAGCCTTCACCCAAGCACAAGATTCGAGAGTAACAGGTCGAACAGTTTCAGTACGACCTTCTCGGAAAAGCCGAGTCATGGAGGCTTCATAGGTCAGGTTGAATTTTCTAGAGTCCTATGGAAAGAAAACATTGTAGTTATATGGTTGTTTTCTGTACATGTTATATGAGTAGATTTCTGTTTTTCAAAAATAAAAAAAGAATAAAAACTATTGTAAAGAGAATTTTTTTTAATGAAGAAATGAAATAAAAGGTTTTGGAGTTAATGTAGTTAATGCTGAATAATATTTACAAAAGGGGTGAAAGAATATTCTTACTACACATTTCATATCTCTGAGCAATGAATAACAAAATCAATTTCCAAATAATTTTTAAAAAATATATTGTTACATAAAAGAAGCACACAACACAGAATAAAATCACATTTTTAGAAGCTAAAACTGAAAAGAAGTAAACTAAAAACAACAGTTACTTAGTCATTACATGCTGCATGTACAGTATATGCACAAAATTGTATATTATTTATTTGGAGCAAAAATGTCAAGTTCCAAATTTTTATAACTCCACAAATATATTATACAAATCAAACAAAATACAAAAATGTTATTTATTTTGTAAATGTTTATAAATAAAATGAACGCTTCTGACAAAGTTGTGCAAGAGAACAAAATAAAAATTTTCTAGGTACTAGAAAATTTACATTTTAAAATGACCTTAAAAAAATATACATATATTAAGAAATTAAAATTTTTTTTGACTTAGAAATTTAACATTTCCTTGACTTTTTAGGAGACTAAAAATTTCCCCGAATCTTTAAGGCTACCTAGCTTACTCAGCACCAAGATGTATCATTTTAGAAATGTAACAATTAATTTCATTTCCTACATGAAACATTGCACGAACACGCAGATTTTCAATATTGCATATGTAGATTTAAAAAAATAATTATTTTGTTCATAATTTTGATTGCCAGTACACAAAAAAATCTGTGTGCTCTATTCCAACGTGAGTAACAGTTTTGAATTAGGTGGAACTCAGATTATATGGAGTCTACAGAATAGCCAAAGTAAAATTCTCCACATAAATTTTAAAAATATATTGCCACAGGATAAAAAATATGATATTTTAATACTTTGAAAAAATACTTACTCTGTAATAAGCTAATTGCAAAGCCATTTGAATATAAGCATCTGGACTGACTTTACATTTTTTCATGAATCCTTTACCATATGCATCATGCATTAATAGTTTGAGATCAACATCTGCTATGGCAGTTTCAGCAGATTGTTTGCAGTTGTCTATCACAGTAATGACCTGAAATGTTTATGAAAACAAATGCATGATTTTATGTCTCCAATATTAATATTTCAAAAAGTTATTTTAGAATTGAGCGAAAGAAAAAGTGGGATTTAAATAAATAATCCTAAGAAAGTGAAGCAGTAAAATTATTACCTGCTTAAAAATTTCCTTTGTTTCAAAAATATCTATATAGCAAATAACAGTCAGCTGGTTTCAAAATAGAAAAACCTCTCCATAGCACTTGGAAATGCATTTTATCTTGATTTGCCTGTGGTTGTCCTTTTTTCTGTATTTCATTTTATTTCCCTCTCGGTTACTGTGGTTTCTCTAGTTTTGTTTCTCACCTTTATTTTACATTAGCAACTTCGCGTTTTTTATTTTAAATCAATTTTGCTTTATCTCGTTTATGCCTGGCAAATTTTGAAAACGGTAACATATTTTTGAAGCGCTTGAAGCATGTCGATTGATTGATTGAATGTAGAGTTTAATGGCACAAAATCCAAATGTGGACATGCTGCGCCAAACAATATGTTTATACATGTCAAAATTGAAGTGCATACTTATTTTCCTAAATATAATTAAAAATTGATAAAATCATATACAAACAATCAACGGTAATATTGGAATAAAATCATGTCAACGTTAAAACACAGTAAAATAGTATAAAAGTAAGAATATCCTTCTAAAAATGAATAAATTCTTGAACAGAATAAACTTATATACAATTTAAAATGCTAATAGCACTTAAAAATGCAAAAATGTTCGGATGATGAGAGTCACCTAACAAATCTCCCATAGATAAAATAGAACTGCCAAAAAAGGCAAGACGATGTCTGTTAAAATACGGGCAAGTGAATAAAATATGGTGAATCAAAAGTAAAACATCACAAGTGTTACATTGAGGAGGTGGTTCACCAAACAACAAATGAAGATGGGTCAGTCTGGTGTGTCCGATTCGCAGACGGGTAAGCTTAACATCTGCACTACGTAGTCGCAACACAGGGAAGGGTTCCAAATTTGACTTATGAGCGTGCAACTTATTATTCACTTGGTTATCCCACTGCTGCTGCCATAAAGATTTTATATACTTTTTAATATGTATTTTTACATCTGAGAATGGTATAGATAAATTTAAAGTAGTAGTAGCAGATCGCGCTGCTGTATCGGCTAAATCATTGCCAGGGATTCCAACGTGACTTGGAACCCAGCAAAATAAAATATCGAAACCATTTTTATGAAGATTAAATAGCAAATGCTGTATAAAACACAAAATGGGATGAGTTTCATTGTCAAAATGGTTGAGTTGGCGCAACACGCTCATACTATCTGAGTAAACGCAGTATTTTCGATTCAAACTAGCTGAAATAAGCCTTAATGCCAACAGAATTGCAACTGCCTCAGCGGTGAATACGGAACACATAGTTGGTATTTTATAACTGTAGGTGTCGTCAGCAATAACAATACCACAGCCTACATAGCCAGGACATTTTGAGCCATCTGTGAAAACCGGAACATGTTGACAATATTGATGACGATGAGCTTTGTATAGTTGCTGAAAAATGATAGGCGCAACATGAGATTTACTATGTACATCGAATGGAGAATGAAAATGATATTGTGAAACGTTCCAAGGTGGAATAAGCGAGTGATCGACACATTGTGTTGTTGAGTCACAGATATTGAATGATTGGTTGAGCGAGCACATGCGAGCATTAAAAGGGCGAACATGTGAGGGTCGAGCATCATAAATCCGCTCTAAACTTACTGGAAGTGTTTCACGTTTAAGAGGGTGTGATGTGGATGAGACTACGTGAAAATAATATGTTAGACTGAGCTGCATGCGTCTCAAATCTAGAGGCAATTGGTGACACACAGCATACAGGCTTTCAACTGGAGAAGTACGAAATGCGCCGCTACATATACGCAAGGCAGTATGATGCACTGTATCCAACCTTTTAAGGTGAGAAGCTGAGGCAGTGCCATATACTGCACAAGCGTAATCAATACGCGATAGAATAAGTGCTCGATATATCCGTAGTAAGGCAATACGATCTGCACCCCAATGCGTATTTGAAATGACGCGTAACATGTTCATAGTTTTCTCACACCGTTTTCGCAACTGTCTAATATGAGGGCCAAATGTCAACTTCTTGTCGAAAATCACTCCCAAAAATTTAGTTTCTTCAACTACGGGTATAGCAATGTTATTAATGTGTATGAAGGGATCATTATGCAGCCTGAGCAACCGACAAAAATGCATGCATGAACTTTTGGAGGGGGAAAGTGTATGCCCATTCTCATCACACCATTTGATGGTTTTATTCACAGCAAGTTGAAGTTGACGTTCAATCACTCGCATCTCAGATCCTGAGCATGAGACGTTGAGATCGTCAACTTATAGTGAACCAAAAACTGTAGGTGGTAAAATATGTAAGATGAGAGATACATGAACGATGAAAAGTATGACACTCAGAACGCTACACTGTGGAACACCTTCAAATTGAATGTAGACATCAGAAAGTGTATTACCCAGTCTGGCTCGAAAATACCTCTGTCTCAGAAAGTTTTCAATAAATGCAGGGAGATGACCTCGATGACCCATGTTAAACAAAGCCTTTAGAATGCTGTAACGGCATGTTCGATCGTACGACTTCTCAATATCAAAGAAGATAGAGATAAAATGGCTACGTCGAACAAAAGCATTAAGAATATGCGATTCCAAAGCAACAATGTTGTCTATAGTCAATCTGCCCTTGCGAAATCCACTTTGAAAGTCGGGGATTAGATGTTTCCTCTCTAGATAATAGACAAGTCGAGAATTTACCATGCGCTCGAGAGTTTTGCAGAAGCAACTCGTCAGCGCAATTGGGCGATAATTAATCGGATTTTTCGCATCCTTACCTGGCTTCAAGATAGGTATGACAATTGCCTCACGCCAATTAGTAGGAAATATCTGTTCTAAACATATTCGATTGAAAAGATCGAGAATATTGCGCAAGGAGACAGTAATAAAGTGGCGTAGCATGCAATATGTAATTCCATCGGGGCCAGGACTTGTATTGGGAGCTTTCGTAATTGCTCGTAGTAATTCTATAAAAGTAAATGGTTGATTATACTGCAGTTGCTGTCGAGTCACAAAATTTAGTTTATTTTTTTCCGCAACGCGTTTATGGTTTTGAAACGCTCTGCTGTAACTGTCAGGGCTGGAGACGGCAGCAAAAGCTTCACCTAGGATGTTACTCACATCTACAGGATCTGAGTAAATAGTACCGTGTCTTTCAAACACCAGAAGATGGAATTCACGGTACATACCATTCGCCTTTTTAACTCTCGACCAGACTTGTCTGGGAGACGTTGTAGATGTGATAGATGAAACGTAACGCTTCCAAGACTCCCTTTGACTTTGGTGCCTTATCCTACGAAAGAAAGCTCTAGCTCGTTTATAAGCCACAAAATTAGCGTTTGTTGGATAGCGACGGAAGATGTTCCACAATCTCTGCTTCTCTTTGTGAGCCGCAGAGCAATCGGCATTCCACCATGGTCGGCGGTGACGGGGAAGAGAGGTAGATGTTTTCGGTATGCTAACTTCGGCAGCATGCATTATTACCGAAGTTACGTTTTCAACTGCATCACTTATATTGCTAGAGTTAACCATATCTTCAGTGAAATCAGCAAGCTGATTAAAGAGACTCCAATCAGCATGATGATATATGAAGACAGAGGGTCTAGGAGTGATATTACTAGTAGATGAATATGAAATGATGACAGGAAAGTGGTCGCTGTTATGAAGGTCATCATCAACTGAGAGTTGTGAGAATGGTAAAATTGCCGGTGAACATAAAGCTAAATCTATGCAATGGAAAGTCTGTGTGGGTGCATGAAAATATGTGTCCTCTCCTTGATTCAGTAAACATAAGTTATGATCAATAATGAGTCTTCCTATTTGACATCCGCGAGCATTGGAGTCAGAACTACCCCATAATTCGCTGTGACCATTAAAATCCCCTAATAGTAGAAAAGGTGGGGGCAGTTGATGAATCAATGAGTTTAAATCGATTTGAGTTATAGCAGCATGTGGAGGTAAGCAAACAGAGCAGATTCTAATGGAGATGTTAACGTAAATTTGAACGGCAACAGCCTGTAATGGAGTCGACAATGAAATGAGAGATGATGGGAAACTTGTAGAGATTAATATTGCAACACCACCGCTAGGTCGATTAGTATCAACGCAATCCTTTCGATGGCAGACATAGTTGCGAAGTTTAAAATTGTCTGATGATACCAAAAATGTTTCTTGAAGCGCGAGACATAAAGGGTGATATTTAGATACAATATCTCTGATATCAGAGATTTTATTTCTTGCACTGTGACAGTTCCAAGAAATAAGGGAAATTGTCATTATTTCTTTTTCTTGGATGTGGATGGAGGTGCGTCATCCATCGGAAGTTCATCAAAAAGCGATTCATCTTCTGAAGGATGTAACGTTAAAATATCATCTGCCTTCTGTGCAATGGCAGAAGTAGATTGATTAGAGTACTGATTAAATTTAGGATTTTTCTTTTTCCGGGTGAGTCCCGGTTTTTCGCTAGGAGGGAGTTTTGACTTCGAGCGCTGCGTAAAGTCAGGCCGAGGCTTCACTGAGAAATCTGTCCGAGATGCTTTTGTAGGTGGAGGAGATGTTGAGACAGATCTACGAGGTGCTGAAGGTCCAGTAAAATTAAATATGGGCTTTTTGTTGTTCTGTGTCAATGGAATCGGAATTTTTTGATTTTTGGGCTGTGAGGGAGGGGCTGGTAGATTATCTGTTTGAGTGCTCACTGAATTATATGAAATTTTAGTAGCCACGGAATAGGATACACCCGGCCGAGGAGTACGGGCGGTGACTATCCGGCGAGCTTCACTGAACGTAACATTTTGCAACACTTTTACACTTCGTATTTCTTTCTCTTGGGACCATTTTGGACAATTCCTGGAGTATGCTGCATGCGCGCCCTTGCAGTTACTGCAAAGGGCTGGCAGCTCACAGGAAGTGTCACTATGGTCAAAACCAGAGCAGTGGGCACAAATTGGCTTGCTACGACAAGATGTTTTAGAATGGCCAAACCTTTGGCACTGAAAGCACCTTAATGGGTTTGGCACATATGGTCGTATGGGGCAGTTATGCCAGGCAAGCTTAACCGAAGATGGTAGTTTCGGCGTGTCAAAAGTAAGAATCAGATGTTTCGTTGGGATAAGTTTACCATCCCTACGTATCTTAATTCTACGGACAGCAGTTACATGTTGTTCTTTTAATTCTTCAGCGATAGTTTCCTCTTCATCATCGAGGAATTTTGATTGTGGTATTACACCTCGTGAAGTGTTGAGAGTTTTATGAGGGGAGACAGTTACTGTAAATGAGCAGATTTTCTCGCATATGGATAATATAGCAGCTTGTTTTTCGGAGACCTCAACTAAAAGATCACCCGAACGCAATTTCTTCACAGAAGCTACTTCTCCCAATACTGACAGAAGAGCCTTGTGGATTAAAAATGGCGAGACTTTTGTAAACGAAATGTTTGGTACAGTTGGATTTGTCAAACTTATTATGAAATATCGAGTGTGTTCTAACGGTAAAGGGGTTGTTCCGCTGTTTTTGCTATGGTGTGCAGAACTAAACACCTTGCCTCTATTTTCAGTCATAGAAAATTTCAAAATACTTCCACTATCAGCGGCATCACCCACCACGGAGTCCTACATGGGGGATGCAAGTAACAAAATTGAGTAACTTGACACCGATGCTAACCAATAGCTATACATCCGCGAATCACCCCTGAAGCAGCCTCCACCCTTAACGAGGTGCCCAGTAAGTGACCCCGGACTTGACCCCAGCCAACAGATGACGGTCGTGACTAGCCGGTTGATGCATACAGGTCAATATGCACCTCCCGTTTACCTGAAGCAGGGGCCAAAGCAGTGTTTTGGGGTACCAGGATGCCCCTCAACTGCCAGGATCCCCTTTTCCAGGGACACGGGTCTCCACGCACGGCAAACACGCGGGTGGTCTCTTCCCGTCTGTGTCCGATACAACAGGGTGGTATTGGACACAGACAAAGAGCCCTCACCAGTTAATGTGGCAACCACGAGAAGGGGGAAGAAAAAGGAAAAAGTAGGAGAAAAGGGAGAGGAAACGGAAGGGAGGACAGATCACTAGGGTACCCCGGGGCGTGACTCCCTGTGTTTACCTAAAGATGGTAAACCCCCTCAGGGGGCTTGAAGCATGTCAAGTGTTGTTTACTATTTATATATTTTGAAGCAAATGAAGTTTTTAATCAGGCAATATTTTTGAGATTTCTCACTAAATAAGTTTTTGCAAAACATTTTTAAACTCTGCGATCTATGAGAGTGTAACTGTGAATTAAACTGTGTTCACTATAGTTCTCCATGAATATTACAATTTTCAAGACATTAAAAGTTTGATAAGCTTACTGCTATTTAATAGTTTTCTTTAAAATTAAACGGAAAATAGTTTTATAGAACTTAACAAATTTTAGGTAAGGAGTATTAAATAAAACTATTTCAAATATTTATTCAATTTTAACTTAGGATAAATGTATAATATACATGTATTAAGCTAAAAAAAGACAGTGGAAAACCAATTACTTCAATCAATCATTAAACAATCAGTCCCACATTAAAATACAAATCAAAAATTTTTTTTTACAAAATTCATCAGGGATGTAATAATTTTTCCCTAAGACGAAATTAACATGATTATTGACTAAAACATTTTGTACAAAGACTTTAATTTCGAAATGTTTTACTTTTAGTTGCAAAAAGCTTTAATTATGAAGATGTTTTACTTTATAACATTATTCCAACAAATTAGTTCTATAAAATCATTTTAATACACATAAAAAATTATAAATGTTTATCACACATTTGAAATTTTTTTATTACAATAAAATACACAATTAGGTTTTAAATACATTTTTTTTAGTATTAGGGCCCATAAGAAATTTTATCTGAGCATTCCGTGTTTCAATGTGATTTTTTTAAAAAAGAGCATGTTTAAAACAATAAAAAAATAATGATTCATAAATTAAACTCCTTTAATCTTAAATTCACGCATTTGGAGTAATTTATACAAAAAAATAAATAATAAAAATACCGCAAGAGGAACAATGTGATTAATTATTCGGAATCTTTCAACAGATTCCGAATCTTTTGTACTTTACATTTGCGATTACATGCCTTATACCACCATTTTCTAATGACCTATTTTTAGATAAAATATGGAACTTTGCTCAGGGCTAGAGAGTTCTAAGAATATCCAGCTAACACAAGCATTAATAGAAAAACAGCACAATGAGATCAAGAAAAAAATTAATAAGAGAAGATTTTTAAATGTTGGTAAGTTTATTTATTTTTATTTATTTTTTGTTTATATATATATTTTTTTTTAATTTCAAGCTGTGTACTAACCTGCTACATGAATTATCTATGTTTTGTTGATGATTTAAATGAATATTTTCTTTTTATAAATACTGTCTCTTCAGTAGTCCCTCTTGATTCGATACAGTGAACCTTAGTATATCTATAGTGTGACATTACTAATTCAAATGAGAACCACACTCTTTTTGGGTAAAAAAACTAATACGACTATTTCTTTTCATATCTCAAAATTTTTTTTAGTAAAAAAGAAATAAAACTTTGTGTGAATATTTTCTTTTATTATCAAATACTCTACACGTGCTTTTGTGAATTTTTCTTTTTTGGATTTTATTTTAGTAAAATCACATTTTAATTCGTAAGATATCACATTTTCCTACATTCATGCTTGTTATGAATCTAATTTATCTTCACAAAATGTTTTCTTGGGAGTAAAAAAAAAAATCCACAGCTAGTGAAAATTGCATCTTGCCCCTTAAATTTTTTTCTAAAAACTGAAATTTACCTTTAAATTTCAAAATAAGAAAGTATTTACAGCATAACTAATTACATGTTACATAACTGCATAAATAAAAGAAATCGATTAATTAAAGAAAACACTACCTCAGGAGAAAAGTCCCATCTCAATCGACTGGGTGGAAATATATTGTTTCTAGACTCTCCAATACAGTTGCCATCTTCATCATAACTACAACAGAAAAATAATCCTATTTTAACATAAAAATTATCTTCTACATGTTTAATAATTGAATATTAAAAAATTCAAGTAAGAAACAACTCAATATAATTGTATACACAAGTAGAACGAAATTCTAAATACCATTTGGTGTTGAATTCTTGAGCTAAACAGAATTCCCACACATGGCCCATAATAGGAGCATCAGCCCTAGAAAACAAATAATAGTTGTTTCAAAACCGAAAAACAACATGCATTTAATCAATCTGCGAAAAGTATCCTTTTGCCAAAAAATTATGATTAGAAGAAGTCCTTCAAAGAATCAATGCATTAATATCTTTTGATGCAAAGAAACTTTTATAACAAAAAAGTATTTTAAAAACATCAATAGTTAAGGATGTAAAAAACATAATTTATATCTTATCTAAAAGAAAATGAAAAATTAAAAGTAAAAAAAAAATGAATAAATTAACAAATTAATTATAATTTAATTTATAATTCTAATAGTGCTTAATTCAAAACTACACTTTTCTTGCTCTTTTTTTATTCTTAACTGGCTAATTAAAATAATAATATTTAATAAAAATAACTTTAGCAGATCAAACAGCCTAGACAAAAAGAGGAATTGTGAAATTTATTTGTAAAAATTAAATTTTATTAATAAAAAGTACTTAATGATTAAAGACAAAAAATGGCTATAAGTGAGGTCAAAAAATACATTAAAAAAACACACACACAAAGCACTTGGAAGAAACTTAAAAAATAGAATTATGTAATTAAAATTATCTTACCAAGAGTGTTCAACATTAAGGCCAGCCTAAAATTGAACAAAATACTTTAGAATTAAAAATGTTACTCAATTATTTGATAGATTAATGTTTGATAAAAAATTATTTCAATATCATTTTACTGCATTTAAAGTCAGTCATAATACATAAGTAGAAACCATTATTAGAGCCTGGATTAGGATGATCTAAGAAATTCCTAAAAAGTCCCTTAAAAGGGTTATCAATATCAACCAAAACAAAAAACATCATAAAATTCCATTAAATTAAAAATTTCCTTAAAATTGAAAAAAAATCAATAACTTATAACTGAAATTTTTTTCCCTGCACTTTTCATAAATGCTAGAATAATAAAAGAAAAAAAATATTGATAAAAAGTCAAAATATTACAAAAATTACACAAAAAATTTATCCAAAATCTATAAAAAAAATTAAAAAACTCAAAAATTCTTTAAAAAAATCAAAATCTAAAAAAAAGTTCAAAAATTCAAATATTATGAAAATCCAGACTTCCCTAATTAGTACTGCGCAAGATATAAATCTTATAATTGTGAATTTTTTTTATATAAAAAACAAAATATTTACCCTTGCATTCTTAGAGATAATGATATTGAAAGACTTGTCAAACCAACGATCATATCCCTTTCCATGAAGCATAGCTTTACCAAATTCATCCAATTTACTTGGATCGGCCTATAATCAAATATTTTACTTCAATTAATAACAATTATTAAGATAATTTCATTATTATGTATGCAATAGGAGAAAAATTAAAATGTTTTACGCAATATATTAGGCCCAGACTAAATGTATATCAATGCAGCCTTACACCTTAAAGCATTGCTTTTATCCATTAGTACTAACAATATTGCTTTTTAGAAACAGTTCTAAGAATACTTAAGTTCACAAGAATTTCTAATCAACAGAAATTATTTTTAAGTATTTTTTTCTCTCAAGGTGTATCAATAGCAAAATACCAAGTATTTCATTGACAATGCAGTCATTAGAAGTTTGACTAGTTTAAATGTAATATTTAGAAGAAAAATTCATTTGTTTAATTGTTTATTAATTATAGATCTTCCAGTCAATACTTCAATGTAGTAAATATTATTAATTAACTATGACTTAACCAATAGTATGCTCATTTAGCATTCTCAATTAAAGGCTATTCTTTAAAGGTACTCTATTTCAATTTTAGTACATAATATGCTACATTTATAACTGTTGTGCGTGCATAACTGCTATGCTTTGCCTTATATACTGTGTAATGGTGGCACAAAATCTCAATATATATATATATATATATGTGTAAAGAAAATTTTGATCAGGTGGGAAAAATTTGATACATTGAGATTTTTTAAAAAGAAGTTTAATATTTTTTGGAATAACTAGAAGATTTGTTAATATTTTTAATTACTATTTAAAATATCAAATTTACACTTCAAAAGAATTTGTTTCTTGTGGTATCATGTATAACATTAATCAAAAGTTTGTTTAGAGTTTACGGAAACCAAACATTAGCTTTTTGTTTAGCTTGGCAAATGAGCTTTGAAAAAATCTTATATCTTTTGACTTCAGGTAAATATCAGTTTGCAAACAAGCAACATATCTTAACATGAATACATTAATCATTAATAAATTGTGCATTATTTCAACAATAACTGTTGATAGGTCAAGGATAATAAAATAAAAATTTAATAACTTCATTTGAAAACACTATCTTTGAAAACTCAAAGCTTATATTAGAATCCAAAACTTTCCAAAAGAAATAGCAATATGACTCCAGCTATATCTGAATTTTTATGGATTGGACCTAACTTAGAAAGCCATATAATCAGATTATTTACTAATTTTAAAACAAAAAAATTAATTTGCTTAGGAAATTTTAATTTAGCAACTATGAAAACAATATCACTCTCCATTGTGCAGCATTTTCTGCCACTTCAGGTAGGCTGATTAGCACTACCACAAAAATTAACTTTACACATATCTTTAATGTATGCTATATGTATACAATTATGAAATAAATAAAAATAACTTACTTTGTCAAAGTTATACTCCTCATCATCCAGTGATACAAAAAATGCTGCCTAAAACATAAAAATTTTTGAATGAAAAAAATTAACAAAACTTAAAAAATCTAAGAAGTAATTATTAAATAATTTAATTACCTTTTCTATGGTATTCAATGAAGCTTTATTTATACCTTTAGAAAAATACCTCTCCCTTGCTTCTGCCCATACAGTTCTAAAAAACAGAAAATATTTATTAATTAAGTATGCCAAAAAGATTTATTACTTAATAACTTTTATATGTTACAGTGTTGCTAAATAACACATTAGACAAAAAAAAAAAATTTAGAATTTAAAGTTTACAAATTTAAGTACATAACAAACATCAAGAACTTTAAAGAGAATAATTTTTAAAAAATATTATATAATTAACCTTTCAATTGCAGTCAATGCACCAACATATTGTTCACCTGCCTGAGGCTCAGACTTATCATTTAAAATCTTCTCAATTTGCCTGAAAAATTAAAAATATGCTCTAAATGTTGCAATGGCTTTGAATAAAAAAACATATCTATCAGCAGTAAAGTTACATAACTAAACATTTCATAAGTTATTTGTTCTACATTCAAATACATATAATCTAGTTTTTATAGAATGTAATAAATGTAATTATTTTTACTTCATAATTTTTTTTTATTAAAATGAAATTTATTTATGTAAAAATATATAAGTGCAAATTCTTATAATTATGTAATTAGTAATTGACTGATATATTGTAAAAAATTGAATTTACAGCTTTATGCTTTGTATGCATTAAAAATTATTCTATTAGGAATGCATGCATATTAATTGGACACAGCACTTAATTAAATTCATTCAGCAAAATTTAATCAATTTTAAGCTTTATAATAAGTAAGTATTTATTTAAGTATTGTTGTAGTAAAAGAAATTAACAATGATTGTATCAAACAAAACTTTCCCAAATGCAATTAGGTTGGCTAGTCAGGTCACAAATATATTCTAACAAAAATAAACATACTAACATAGATTGCGGCTGAATCATAATATTTAGCTTGAAAAAACACTGATGTTTAGTTTTAGAACCAAAGACGAAATATACTTGCTACCATGCCATGGAAAAATATCTGAACTGAAATTTATCTTTTTTGTTCTGGAATCAAATACCTTTAAAAAAATCTTAGAATCTTTCTGAAAATTAAACATAATTCATTCAATAAATTGAGCAGCTTCACTTTATGCTAATTTATTACTGACCTTCAACTATTAAGTTTAAGTATTTTCAATAGCAAAACAAATCATAAGAAAAAAAACTTGCTCAATTGTTAAAAATTAAAATTAATTAATAAAATACATTTTAAAATAGTACAGCTACCTTTGTAATTCAATGGGTTGCAATAGACGACCCATATAATAAACAGGAATTTTAAAAAAACGACCTCTATGGTAAGCAACAATGTGCTGACTATCATCCAAATGAACAAGCTTATCTGAAAATAAATATTCAATACAGATTATTTATAAACATATTTAAACTTTAATATTCAGTAGAAGATCAGCAAAATACGAACCAGTTTCTTTCCCTGGTATGCGAGTGGTGTTAAAAATACGTTCATATTGAGCAGAACATAGAGGCACGACATTTTGGACCATTATCTAAAAAATTGAAATCAGTAGTTAAAAGAGCATATGGGTGAAGACTTTGAAAACAATTTAGATTTTTAAGGGAAAGGTCTTAATTCAATCTTAATTAGGTGTATGATTCAATGTCGATAAATTTTTCCAAGTCATAAAATACCAGAGATGGCCATGGTGTTCAACTCCATAGCCCTGTAATTCTGAAGCATTGGGACTTCTTTGAGGACTTTTGATCGAATCCAAATTTGGTTTACATGGAGAGGCAATCCACAAAAGCCTCTCAAGATTAGTCTGATGTCAAAGGGATTCTGACTCATGATCCCTCTATTACTAAGGATATATTTATGTTAGTACTGTGGTTAGTGCAAAACGGAGGCAGAATTCATATCGACAAGTCACTGCCTGAATTTGAACGTGGGTCAGCTCATTGGAAAGTGAGCACTCAATTCATTGAGCCATCACAACTTAAGCGATAGGGTTAGAGTGTTTTTGGAGTGGAAGAGAGCTCTACTCGCATTTGACAACAAAATGCCAGAAATGTGAGTGCTGATAAATTTAAATGGCGTTCTAAAGATAAAAACTACCATTATTACAGTAACTAGGACTGGGCTATAAATCGATGTATCGAGACATATCGATTTAACGAATATATCGGCAAGACGATACAGCGACTTTCATTCAAGGAGATGCATCAGAAATCTGATTTAAGCCATTTAGTGAAGACAACGAGCGCAAAACGATATAGCGATATAAGTCACGCAAGGATATAAGAACGCTATAGCAATATAAGACTCTTCTCTTACGTTCCGATGTCGACTCGAGCTGTGGAAAACGATGTTCGTTTCGTTATGTTGAAATGGCCTTGATTGGTGAGCTGTAGAATCAGAATCAGAGTTTTGAGAACACATATCCTTATATCGCATGTTCCTTTTCGCACCTCTTAGCTTTTTTTTCGTTGTCGCGACTTTTCTGGTAGATTATTTTCAGTGGGACTAACTTCGTGATCGCCGATGTTACCTTGTTCTGAAGGCAATCTATTATTGAAAAGAATATATAAAGAAGAGTTTCTTCATTAATTAGATAAGTTTTTTCTTAAAAAAACCTCTTTTTATTTTTAAATGTGAAAATTATCGGCAATCTAATTTAGGCGCCCATAAAGAATTGAATTTGTTAGGTTATTTTTTTACTTTCTTTTAATTTATTAAAAACTTTTTGGATGCAACTTCTAATAATTTAATGAGTTTTTATTACTGATTTTAAATTTATAAATCTTGTTGTTTTTATTTTTAGAAATAAAGTTAAAACAAAATTTATTTTTGTCACTTGGATTTGGACATAAGTCAATTAACTTTGTTTATACAAAAAAATTTGAAAAGTTTGCGCATTTTATTCATTTTTTTAAATCATTTAGCACTTCGTTTTATTAGAGAGTATAAATTTTTTTTAAAAAAAAATTCTTTTCATATTATTTGTTAATTAGCTAAATATATTATCGAATATCACAATTTTTTTATTTTTAAGAAATTAAATCTTACTTTGTTTTTCGTTCATAATTCGGTCATTATTTAATTTAATTTAATTATTTATCTGAAATGATAAGGTCCCGCAGTGGACTGATCGTTAAGACACGGTTCCCTGCAGATCACCGAAGTCAAGCATCACTGGCTGCGGTCAGTGTGCGGGTGAGTGACCACTTGGATCAGTCTGCGTAGGGACCGAGGGTGTGCGGTATTGGTCCTCGTTAAACTGTTCTACCGTAAAGTGCTCGACTTCGCGTGCAGGTCGTCGAGCTACCGAAGCGGGGGTGCCATCCCATCTGCAGAGGATCAAAATTGTGATGGCATGTCTTCGGATCATCCTCAGGGATGTTTCCCAGACCGTCGCCAATAGCCCATTGTGCAGCTCTAGTGTGACGTAAATGAACTATAATAGAACTATAATAACTGAAATGATAATAATAAAAAATAGTGTTTTAAAAGCGTTTTTTTTTTTAAATTTATTTAGCACTTTGTTTTAAACATACAAATAATTTTTAACGTTTCATTTAGAAATTGAACATTACGATCGAACTTAATAATTATGTAATTATTTATGCATAATAGTACAAGAAAATATTAATTTGTAAAAAACGCTTTAAAAAAAGTTTTTAACACTTTGTTTTACGCGTATTATGAATTTCTAAACAAACATTTCAATAAATATTTTAAGTAAGATTTGTACATTGTAGTCAATTTATTTAATATCTTTCTTAAGCAAAACATATATATCTTCAAATTTATAAATTGATTTAAATCAATCTGAGTATGAAGTTTTGATAGAAATCTGACTTTCTGTGCCTTACAAATAAATGAAATTCAAAAATACTATATCGCGATACATCGCTATATCGTGATGTAAAACTGACAATGCATCACGATACATAATTTCTAATATCGCCCAGTCCTAACAGTAACATATATCAATTTGAACTTTAATAGGTAATGATTTAATCACTACAAATATAACAATCAACTTTTTTTTTTAAATTCTTGAAAAAGTGTTTTTTTTCTTCATTAAATCAGACTTAGCACTTAAATTTTCAAAATTTGTCTTTAAAAAATAAAAATAAAATAAATTTTTGTGAATGATTATATCTTTTACAAATAGGATAATGATGCAATACAGTTTAATTTGAAAAAAGTAACACTGTGCATAATTTCTTACTGGTCTTATAGTCTGCCTGTCAACAAATCGCCTGAATAAGAATGCACAGTGGATCATGATTGCAGCTCTTGCAGCCTGAACATTGGTGGGGTGAACTAGCATGGCATCCTGTTAAAAGAGAAAATTTATAATATTGAATAAATATTTTATTTTAATTTCAATCAAGATCTACAAAACTACTTGGCAGCTGTTTTTTAAAACATAGTGGAATTATACAAACTGCAAAATATTAACTCTTTACTGATAATATGATTAATATAAAGATTTACAAATGCACTCTTTCCGAAAGTTATACCAATGTGGATATAAAGAGAGTGACAAAATGCGATCACATAACAATGATCAAAATAACATTATAAAACTAGCAATTCTTTATCAGTATTAAGAACATGCACTAACTTTTCAACTTCAAAAGGTATTTCAACAAAATTGACTACTAAAAAAAATATCCTAATCTGCTTCACTATTAATTACTTAGAAAAAAATTACTTATGCTGAAAATTAACTTTTAAAAGCAATAAAAATTAATTTTTATGAATTCTATTTTTTTAGTTAAAAAAAATTAATGGAAAATTTTACTAATCTCTTTAAAAAAGTTTCTGATGCATTATATAATATTTCTATGAGAAAAATATATAAGGTTCACAAACAAAGAATTTTATGCCCCAGGGCTCAAGATCAAAAAGCAGCTTGCAATAGTTCTTGCACAACCATGCGCAGAACTATTGCATAAAATGAACAATGAATGAGAACTATTGAAAAAGCAGACTATATGTTCTATCTATTTGTGTTCATTATCAAAAATTTACAAATAATAATGAGAAATAAGATTGCAGCATTTTATTTATTTTATGTCTTATATCTTCTAACAGCATTCAAGTTAAAAACAAAACAAAAATTCTCAGTAGGTATTTATCAATAAAAGCTTTAAAAACAAATAAAAGCTTTAAATATTAATAAAAAAATATATAATTAAAAATATCTCTTAACAGGAAAAAAAATTTAAAAAGCACTGTCTGCAACTGTTATATTTTATGAATTTCATAATAGATTTAAAACCTAATTTCGTAAAAAAAAAAAAAAATTTATTAAATAAAGATATTTTTTAAATTTATATGTTAAAGTTAAACAATATAATAACAGCATTTACAACAGCAAAACATAGGTATAAAAAGCATGGTTTTAAAATTGACTAACTAGTGACACAAAGAACAAACTGATTTACAATTTTATGACTTTGATTTTTCTCATTATTCGAAAATTATACAATTTCCACACATTAAGATATTAATTAGTAATATAAAATCAAAAATATTCCAGACTCATAATATTAATTGATTTTATTCTGATGAAATCCTTGAAACCTTTATGAAAAATACAAAAATAATTTTATACTTTCTAGAAAAAAATTTTAAACGACCTCTATGGTAAGCAACAATGTGCTGACTATCATCCAAATGAACAAGCTTATCTGAAAATAAATATTCAATACAGATTATTTATAAACATATTTAAACTTTAATATTCAGTAGAAGATCAGCAAAATACGAACCAGTTTCTTTCCCTGGTATGCGAGTGGTGTTAAAAATACGTTCATATTGAGCAGAACATAGANAAACAGTACTACCTGCAACTGTTATCTTTTATGTATTTCATAATAGATTTAAAATCTAATTATACAAAAAAAAATTTTAAAAAAAAATGAAATTAAATAAAGATATTTTTCAAATTTATATTTTAAAGTTAAACATTATGATGACAGCATTTACAACAAAGCATAGGTATAAAAAGCATGGTTTCAAAACTGACTAACTATTGACACAAAGAACAAACTGATTTACAGTTTAATGATTTTGATTTTTCTCATTATTTCATTTGAAAATTATACAATTTCCACGCATTAAGAAATTAATTAGTAATATAAAATCAAAAATATTCCAGACTTATAATATTAATTGATTTTACTCTGACGAAATCCTTGGCACCTTGATGGGAAACAAAACAAAAATAATTTTATACTTTCTAGAAAAAAATTTTAAAAAAAATGTTTTTTTAAAAAAATCATGAGAAAAATATTTACTCACAACTGCGTAAAAATTGCTGTTGATCATCAAAGGACCTCTACCACGCAAATAAATGAATTCTTCCCACCAATCAGACACCTAGATTATTATTAAAAAAATAAAAGTAAATATAATCTGAAAATAAAAATACAATCTCCTCATGCAATAATAAAAACATTCATTCAAAATTTAAGAACAATATTCACAACCTATTTCTCTAAGAATAACACTTCAAACAACTGAACGTAAAAATACATTGGAAAATTTAAGTCAAAAGCTTAAAAGAAGTTGAATTATGCTACGATAAAATAAAGAAATCATAATAATGTTTTCTTTCACTCATTACTTGGCTATAAATAACAAAGAAATAATATTTTTCAATAAAAATTGAATTCTTGTTTCATTGGATAAAACGGAGAAAATAAGTTTATTTAAGTAAAAGTTACTTAAGATATCTTTATAACATAAAACAAAATATCTTTATAACATAAATATCTAAAAATATCTTTAAACCTTAAAACAAAAGCTGATACCACTTTTCTTATTTAAAAAAATATGCATTTCATTTGCACATAGCCAAAGAGCTTTGCCATTAAAGTTTATAACATATACAAAAAAATAAAATAATAAAAAAAAACGGAAAATATGTCACAAAAAACTTATTGAATATTCTTTTCATTGAATTTTAATTTTTCCATCCTCATTTTATTTGAAAAAAATAAAAAAAGGTAAATAAATAAAAAAAATTTGATAAATTTTACAAGAAATTGAGTCCTAAAAAGGTTTATGTGAAAATAAAATTCAAAGTTGCTGCTATAACACTACAAATTAAAGAACTTATTAGTAAATATCCAAATATCTTTCAAAAAGAGAGAAGTTAAAACTTTAACAAAAAACCAACCCAAAAAATATTAAATGCTTATCATTCAAATAATTGTACAAATATATGATACCTTCCAAGAAAAAGCAAAATCTAACCTGAAAAAATACCATTAAACTATTAACAGAGAAAGACTAAACACTAATAGCATTTATCAGAAAAATATTTTGGGGAATGTTAAACACAAAATAAATGATTCAGAGCTTTAACAAAACTACATACAAGAACAAGTTTTAAAATTTTACAACACTTTTTGAACATTAATTGATATTAAGGAAAATAATCAATATGAAATATTAAAATGCAAAGCTAAAGAACAGCACTACAAACTGGAAAATAAATGCAAACCTTGATAAAATTAGGATTAAAATAATCAAATAAAATACAATTACATAATTTGTAGCCCACCAAGACTTAAGGATTAAATAACGCTGTAATTTCTTCCCAATTCCATTTTGGAAATCCTCAGCTAAAGCTTCCATCTTCTTATATTTTTCTTCATCCACAAGGGGTTTTACAGAAAGGAGGTACTATAAATTTTAAAAAAAGTAATATTTTAATGTGTAAAAGAAAAATTTATTGCAATAATGGTAAAACAATCTCAATTTTCATGTAACAGAATAGGAAATCCTTTTAAAATTTTTATAAATAATTTAAAATTAGCAAAACAAACAAGATGCATAGCTTACACATAACATAAACAGGATGCATAGCAGTTTACACAAAAGGAAAAAATTTCCTACAATAATGATAAAATAACGCTATTAACTATTTTCTTAATTGACTGCTTCTTTTCATGAGTAACTTAAAATCAGCAGAGTCAACAGTACACATGAAATAAATATAATAATTCAGTTATTCTCAAAAAACTTAACTAGTTATAATTTGAGAAAAATTAGGTATGCATTTTTTGTTCTATACTTTTTAACCCTTTCAAAGGTGATGGGATTAAAACTGACTCATTTACTTCTGACATTATAAAGAAACTGACAATAATATAACGAAAGTAATTCTTCTGACAATATAAAATAAATTATTGTTTTTACCTTTTAAACTATGCCATTTCACATTTCATTAAGTAATTTAAAAAATATAACTTAGAACCAATCATTTCAGAGGAAAGAAGATTTTCCCGGACAAGACTAGAACACATGTTCCCTTCGAAAACTTCTCGGATGTCATGTTAACACCGAGACACATGCCATGGAATTGGGAATGATGCCACTTAAGGATAACCTAAGATCTGTTCTCTATAGTCGAGAGGCACCGCAACAGTGCAGACTTTCGATGCTCTTTGAAAATCCATGGACACGAAAACAACAAATCATAATACATTTTTAGAGAGTTAGAATAAGACATGAAATTCATGGTTGGGGAAATAATGCAGCCTCTGAACTCCTATGACTGGAGCATGCTGGTAGAAGTCTGACTTGGCTCCTTCGCCTGTTAACTTTAGCTGAGTGTAATGGAACGGCCTTCTCCGCATGGGTGACCCTTCCAGGAGTAAAGCTCCAGACGTACATCGCCCGTTCTACTCAGTGTCACCCCCGAAAAAGAAGACAATGTTTCCTGGGTCGTACCCCCCAAGCATCACTGGTACCAGAACACCCGTCCAGGAGATGCACTCAACATTCAGTGCAACCGCAAAGATCAGACGGCGCTTACCAGCGCCCACCTTAAGTCTCTTTCTTTCGAGGGTAGTGTTAAAATCTTCCCAAACTGCCCCAGGTGCCACAACATGTAGGCTTCTCCCCAACATATCCTGGACTGGACAAGAGGGACATTCTAGAAAACCCACTTTTGGTAGCCAACTTCCTCCGGGTCATGTATTTCATGGACATTGTTTAGCCCTGCTAATTTTGGGGATTAGGAAGAAGGAGACCTATGCATTTTAAAAATAGGAAAATTATAAGTACACACCCAAAACATTTGTTTAACTAGAAAGTATGTGCTACACTTACTCTATCCATTGTTTTCTCTAATTGCGGCACAGGCAAGTTAGGAAGCGAGCCTTGAAAACTGAAGAGCTGGGGTTTTCTCTTAACAATAAAGCTAACTACAGCCTAAAAAAATAATGAAATAATAAATGACATTTATATATAAAAATATCAATGCACAAAATATAAAAATAACTTGATGGAAAGCAAAAATAGATTTTAAATTTTTTTAAGGAGATATTCTGATGGAATGCCTGAAACTTCTGAAGGTTCAAGCCACAAACATAATAAGAAAAATTAGCAGCTATGAAAGTAGATGGATTTTATTTAAAGCTGTTTTTTATCAGTTCTTTCATAATATAAAAAAGCGTCCAATAGTGAATAATATATTATTTTTGCAACTTATGTGATCTTGTAATGTTTAAGCAGAAGATAAAGTTTTGTTCATCTCTAGTTAGTGTCTTCGATGCAGATCATGAAAATGTGGCAAAACATCAACCCTGTGGCAGAATTTTATTGGGCTTTCTACCACAAACCTGTCTAGCATGATTATCTTTCCGCAAGATACTTTTAATGAAAACAAATATACATGCAAAAATGAAAACCAAAATTTTTTACTTCATTATTCTCAAATGAGAATAGAAAAACCATTTCCCCCATCAATGCGTGAGAAAGACATATCTTATGAATATAATTCTGGTGGGAAAAATATCTTTCAAAAATTTTTACAGAAATAAAACTATTTTTTACTTCATTGTTCTTTAATTTTTCCTTATTCTTAAATGAGAATAGAAAACCACAAGAATTTCTTTCTCCTCTGTTGCGCGAAAAAGGCATGTTTTGAATATAATTCCAAAACAAAAAAATCTTCCGAAAATTTCTGCAGAAAAGAATAACAAGGTTAAAAACTAAAGGAAAAATGTCTCTGCAGGAACTCTGTCACGTTCGGCGACAACATCGCCACGATTCTGCCACTAGGAACATCAATATGTATAAAAAACAGTTTAAACAGCATTTCTGATTTAATTTTTTTTAATGTTTAGAAAACAACTCCATTACAGTTTAGAACTCATAAAAAAATTAGATTTTTTTTGTTTTTTTGGTTTCAATGATTTTAATCCAAAATTCTCACCAAATCCCTGATGTGATCCCTGTTTAATCCAAAATTCTCACCAATTTTGGAAAAAGTTTGATAATTTTTTATTTCTAATTATTTTAAAATAAAGTAAGTTTTTTTCAGCCAGATAGATAAATAAAATAAGGTTTGCTTCTAGTAAATAAAATAAGACCTTCAAAATGAGGATTTTTTCACTCTCATACTTTCACATCAGGGTTTAAAAAAATACCTGGGTTTCCCACACCTCCCCCCCCCAAAAAAATTTTTTTTATTATGTTTATAAATTACTAAAAAAATTTTTAAAAATTCAGCCCAGTTTTTTTTAATTTTTTTTAGTTTGTGGGTGGGTTAAAAGCCCAACATATTAACACTTTACAGCTTATCGTACACAATTTACAGCTTAATCGTTCACAAAAGAAGTCCAAGCCTATACTTACAAGCCATAATCGGGTTCTGATGGATATACGCCCAGAGCGTGCCTGGTACATCCAGCCTTTGTAAGAGAATAGCATTTTGGTCAAATAACGTACCAGTGTGATAAACAAAAACCATAAAATGAGTGCATATCCAATGTAGAAGGCTGCTATACTCATCAAACAAACCAAAGGATTGCTAAAAATATAAATAGTATCAATTATTGAAATTTCCCAGTATTATAAACCTTTTAAAATTTTTAAGTGTTAACAGTTCTTGTTAACTAAAAAGCGGGGCAATAAATTTCAGTACCAAAATTTTTGCTTGCCTCTATTTTCACGAAAAATATAGACAATTTTTTAAATGTTAATAGATTTAGTATAAAGAACTTTTAGATGACCAAATTCATAAAAGAATGTAGGAAAAGAAAAACTGAAACACGTTTATTGTTTAAAAAAGACTGACATCAGCTTAAAAATTTTTTCAAGAATTCCAATATTAATCCACTTATTTTTGAAAGACATTACAGGAAAGAAAAAAAAAACAGAAAAATAATACATCAGAATCATGGTCCCATATTTTTAACACTTACATATTTGCATTCCGCTCGGTTTTAAAACTAAAATACTAAATGCCAACAAAATCAGGCCTAGCATCAAACTCTGCAGGGAGAGAGAAGGGGTCAATTTATAGAAATTCTGATAATTCATCAAGTTAGACTTTGACAAATCAAGAAAAACAGTGGAAGCTTAAATTAAATAAGCAACTAAGTATTAATTTTTTTTTAAAAAAAATACCAATTACTCTAAACAATGTAAAAATCTCTATTTCTTCATTTGATTTGATGTTTTGCTTTCTCCTGTTTCGTCATTTTTATTATTGTCTACAGTAACAACTTTCTCAAAATTAACAGTTTTTTTGTATTTATTAATTAAATTAGTAGATTTTTTCCAACCATATGGGTGAGAATTCTTATTTTTGCTCATATATCTTACATACCTACTTTTATACGAATGTATGACTTAGTCAACTTCTTTTCAAACGTAACAATCACTTTTTTAGCTTTAAAAAATAGTTTAAAATATTCAGGAAAAAACTAGGGTTAAATTATTTTAAGTGATTAAAAGTACTTTCGGAAATCAAGGATCACCAAGAAGGTATTCTGCTAAAAACGTTGTTCTTTTCTATTACTAGTATAGCAAATACATAGAGAATTCAGGGGTTTTTTTTGTGATATTTGAAGATTCGTATTATTAAAGTTTGAAATATCTAGTTGGACTGCATCAGAGTTTGTATTAAATTAATTTTTTAAAGAAATCATTTATTTAAAAATTTACAAAGCATTTAATTAGATTGTTTACGTTTAGTGATTTTCAAAGTTTTAAATTTTAACATTTAATATATTTTAACTCAAAACATTAGACTGCTACCTTTTTTTAAATAAATTGCATCAATTTCTAAATGACACTTTTGTATTTTTTATAATGTAAACTGCGAACAAAATGAAAATTTATTGCAATCATTTAATATCATTCATTTATTTATTTGTTTTACTAGAGAACAAAAAAAAGTTGAAATTAATTTTGAGACTTGTTTTCTTAAACTTGTTTTTCGGAATGATACATTTTTGTACCATTTTGAATCATTTGCATGAACAAATCGATTATTTAATGCAAGGATATATAGTTTGAAATTTTTATTAGTAAAAAATTTTTTTTAATAATAATTAAAATATAACCATATTTATAAAAAAAAAAGTATAGAAAATTTTATTAACTATGCACTGAACTGTGAAGCATTCCTAAAAAAGATGGTTAAATAAAAAAAAATCACTTTTTACTTCGTTGATCAAATATAGTTTGAAATTTATTGCNAAACAGTATATTAAGTTACAATGTTAACTGAGAAAAATGATTATTAAAATCTAAGTTTGAATTTTATTCTAATCGACATTAATAATAAAAAATTTGTGATCTTTTAATTGAGTAGATTTAAGTTTTTATGTAACAATCCGCTTATCCTTAAGAAACAAAATCAATAACAATCTAACTGTGTAACAATCCAAAACTTAAAAAAAAAAAATTACATTGCGGGAAAACAAGTTATAAATAGTTACGTAATATTTAACTTTCTTGTTAGGAGCAAATCATGCATTATTTAGAACTCAGAAATGAAAATTAAAAATATTTCTGAAAAAACTTGGTTTTTCTTCAAAAACTCAATAAATCTCAGGTTTTTGATATAAAACCTAGGTGGGATAGGATTTTTCAAACCCTGTTTATTACATATCTGTCTAATTTTTAGTACAATCAAGAATTTTGAAAAATGCTGCTGCTTTACAGTTACAGTTACTTATTACACACTGAAATATTATACAAATTTATTTAATTCTTTCAAGATTTATGGAAATAATTTTCATTATGGATTCTAGATCAAAAAATTTTTCTCATACTTCTTTTCTTAGGGTTTTACTTTATTCCTATTAGCAGATGCATTACCAGTAGAACTGAATTTCTTGAATTCTGTAAATTTTGAAGGTCAGTGTGGGTTTCCTACTTAAGTACCTTAGAACTACCCCCTAAAAAGCACTATCTCTTCCATCTGCAGTATTTCCCTTGTCCACACTCTATTCTTTTCTTTTAGAATGTCACTCTTTTCATAGAGTATCATTCGAGGCAAAAGGCAGAATATATTAATGAAAGAGCCAATATATTAATAATAAAAAAACATGTTTTCTTCTTCTTGCCAGTAGCCATCTCACACACATCACTTCTTATCTCTCTAAAATGCTTTACTCTCCGTGCATGATCTAATTCTAGGTGATAAAAGAACGACTTTTTGTTTTAAAACATTGAACTGAAGAATTGTCCCTATCAACTATAGTGATGCTGAAAAATTAAGCACTTCTAAGAACCTTGTACCAAAACTAAGTACTTTTAAGGGCCCTTATTTTCCAAAATAAAAGTTAAGCAGTTTTTAAGGACTTTTAAGGAGCGTGGGAACCCTGTTTTAGGTTAACAAGAGTTAACAAATTTTGATAACTAAAGCAGGGCAATAAATTTATGTACCAAAATTTTTCATTAAAATATAGACAATTTTTAAAATTTTAATGGATGTAGTATAAAGAACTTTTAGATGACCAAATTCCTAAAAAAATGTAGGAAAAGACAGGGTATTTGCTACATTTTAGATTTTCAAATTCATGACTTTTCATAACTTTCCATGATTAATTCCAAAATTTTTCATGATTTAACGAAGTTACTATTTCCTCTGACAAAAACACAATAAAGTTAAAAAAAAGCATCATGATAACATTAATTGAAATGATAGGTACAGTAGGGAACCGATTATCCGGAACGATCGGGACCATCGCTATTCCGGATAACTGATTTTTCCGGTTTTCTGAATCACTACAAAAAGCCGTCTTTTTATTGTTAAATCCAAAAAAAAAAAATTTTTGGAAATAATCTTAAAAAGAAGAAAAAACGATGAAGTAATACACTAATGATTATATCCAAAATGATGGTAAGGTAAACATCTTTCTAAAAAGAAAGAAAAATCCTAAAATCTTATGAGAGAAAATTTTTTTTTTTTTTTAAATGGCGAGAAAATGTATCGAATTTCGTTCCGGTTTTTTGGTTTCCGGATAACGGGTTCTGTACTGTATAACCAAAACTGTTATATTCAGCATCAGGGGCAGATTAAGCGTACGCGGGGCCTTAGGCCATTCAAATTTTAGGAGCCCTAAGATTAAATTTTTCTCTCGAATATTTTTTATTTTGTCAAATATAAAAGTATTTATATATCTTTTCATTTAGGAAAGCATAGTTAAATTTAAAATAAGTAATAATAAATAAATTTTTACTTTATTTCATTAAATTAGAACTAAAAAATAATAACATTTTGAAAAATCATTGTTTTTCTTAATTTTTCTTATTTTCAAAAAATCCACTTTAAGGGGGTCCCTAATCATTGGGGGCCCCAAGCCATTGCCTAGTCTGGCCTAATGGGTAATCCAGCCCAGCTCAGCATCTTCATATTTATAGATTTTAAATTTAAAAAACAGAGTAAAGAAAGAGTTGAAGCAATAAAATAGCTGGAAAAAAATACAAGAAGCAAATATTTTTCTTTCTTTTTTTCTGCAGAATTATATTCTAAAGATAGTTTTCTCGTTCATCCGAAAGGAATGAAAAATACTTCTTATTTTTCGGTTCTCATTTCAGAATATTAAAAAAAAATTCGCCAATGACTGCCTTGCTTCAGCAAAAATTTTAGATTGGAAAAATAAAAATAAATAAATAATAACAAAAATTTTGAAATCACAGAAGTTTAAAAGATAATTTGCTCTAGAGATGATGTCCCGTTTTTCATTTTTTGAAAAAACACCATCATTTTTAAAGAACACGATAAAAACATTTTATATTTTAATAAAATGTGACTGTGATTGGCTATTTTGTCACAAACTCAGATATTCGGAACACCATGAAATTGGGGGTGGGGGGTAAATTCTATTTCAAACATTAGATTTTTCAGCAACCTAAATCCATGACTATCCATGATTTTTTTTAAAAAATTGTTGAAATCATGACAAATTTTGTTCAATACGGAAATTCATGACTTTCTATGATTTCTCCTGACTTTTCAGGTGCAAAAATAAAAACTGAAACAAGTTTATTTCGAAAAAAAACAAACTAACATCATTTTAAAAAATATTTCAATAATTCCAAAATTAATCCACTTATATTCGAAAGACATAAAAAAAAAAAAAAATAAATAAAAAAAACAGAAAATTAAGAAGATAAAAGGATCATGTTCCCATACTTTTTAATACTACAAAATCAGGCCTAGCATCAAATCCTGCTGTGAGAGAGATGGTCAATTTACGGAAATTCTGATCAAGTCCTCAAGTTGGACCTTGGCAAATTAAAAAAAAAAAGAGACTTAAATAAGTAACTGGTCCCTTTTTCTTCTTCTTTTTTCTTAAAAATCTTCTTATAATAAAAGTTTATCAATGCTAAGAAAGACTTTTGGAAACAGAATTTTCATTAATCTGTCCAAATAACTATTTAAAATTTTGAATCTTCAGAATCCATCAATTTGGGGTGGAAAGATTTATGAGGAGAGTTCTTTAACAACTCACATATTTCAAAGTTATAATGTATAGATTAAATGTATTTTGCTTCCTCAAATATTTTTAAATAAAGTTCAATAACTGAATTTGATCTAAAACAATTTTTAAATTACCCTCTTAAACTAATATGAGATAATGAGAGAGAATAATTTTTTGATGCATATGTCTCAAAAAATTATTATCTCTCATTATCAGAACAAGAGAAAAAATTTTAGTTTATAAAAATAAAAGCATGCTAATAGATAACCTTGAGGCATAAATTTCTTTTTTCTTCAAAAAAAAAGTAAACTAAAAAAATTATTAGTTGACAAACAAGTTGAAGATTTTTATATAGATTAAACTGAAAATTAAAAGATAAACATAAATATTAATATTACATATGATATCACAAATTTAAAAGGGGACACAAAAAAGTTTGTGATATTGAAACTTCAGAACATACAAACTTAAATGTTTTAATTAAAAATATTTTTAAGAATAAAACAAAAACTTGTGTGAAACGATGTGTTTTGAAATTTTAAAAACTATTTTGGTGTTTCAAAATTTTAAAAACTGACACATGTATTAATTTTTAAAAAAAATACCAATTACTCTAACCAATTGCCCTAATCGAATATCTCTAGTTTTTCATTTGAATTAACGTTTTAGTAAAATTCTACTGTTTCATAATTTATAATATTGCCAAGAGATATCATTGATTTTCAAAGTTTTAAATTTAAACATTTAATGTTCAAAATGTTCTAACTCAAAAAATTAGATTGCTACTTTTTGTGAAATAAATTACATCAATTTTGAAATGACATTTTTGTATTTCTTATAATGCAAACTTGGAACAAAATGAAAATTTAAAGCAATTTTTAAATACTATTTATTTATTTTTTACTAAAGAGAAAAAAAAGAAATTAATTTTGAGATTTGTTTTCTTAAATTTGTTTTTCAGAATGATACACTTTTGTACCATTTTGAATAAATTTGAATCATACAAATCAATTATTTAATGCAATGATATATAGTTTGAAATTTTTATTAATAATAATTGTTTTTAATGATAATTAAAATGTAACTATATTTATAGAATAAATATATATAGAAATTTTACTAATTATGCACTGAACTTTGTGAAGCATCACTAAAAAAGATGGTTTAAATAAAAATAAAAAATTTTAAATTTTTTTTCTTGATTGATCAAATATAGTTTGAAATTTATTGCTATAAAATTTTTTTAATAATATAGAATAAATCTTCTAAGAAAATATCTTTAAAAAAATTAATTTTTGATTTATATCAAATATATCAGATTTTATTGATTTCTTTGAAGGAAAAAAAAAACCTAGTAAACTATGGATTGTATTAGAGATTAGAAAAAAAAAACATCTCAATCATTCATTTCACGATCAAAAAGAAAAAGAAAACCAGTTATACAGTTAAACATAACAAAGTAAATGATGTTAATTAAATACTTACTCTGATAAATGTGAAGCTAGGAAGTCAACTAAACCATGGGAAACATCACACTCCTTCCAAGTAAGGAAGGCAATAAGAAGAGAAATGAGAAGAAGACTATAGGGGGAAGCAGGATAAGCACCAGTCCAAAGACTAATCTGTAAGGTGAAAAATACATTATGAATTCATCAACAAAAATCTCTGAAAGAGACAGCTAATATTTCTTGGCAAGAAACAACTTCCTAAAAAAGTAATTAATCTATAAGAAGTTAAGCTTAGATGAAAACATTTCAAAATGAGAATTAAGGAGATTTGAATAAAACAAAGAATTTTATTTTTAGATGAATTGTTTTCTTCCTACTTATTATTTTATGATATTAATTTATATTCTTACATTAGCAATTTAAAAATGTATAATTTTTCAACATTAGTATTCAGATCACTCACAGGCTGTGTTAGCCCAGTGGTCATAGAATCGGACTCTGGTCCAAAGGAGTCGAAATTTGTTCCGCGAATTCGATAAGACCCACTAAGACATGTGATACAAGTGTTTGAAAAATGTGTGGAATTGAAAGTCTTGTGGTTGGCAACTGAGGAGTACCATGGCTACAGGTGTCTGGAGAAAATTTCTTTTTCCTTCAGATCTATGTCTAAATTGAGAAGGGGTTATTTACTTTCTCCTCTCCTGTGTTCTCTTGTCAAATGAAAGGCACACCTGCCAGACTTAATTTGTAAAAAACCAATGGCTGGAGAGCTTGGCTTGCCCAAGTATCATTAGAAACTAAAACAGGTGACTCCCATCAAACCACAAATATACACAAGTAACAAACAATGCCAGTAAGAAAATGCCATCCACCACAAAGGCAAATTTCTCCCAATACTTGATCTACTAGGAGTTCCCTTGTCTCCTGGATTGGGTTTAAAATTGTCTTTTGGCCTATCAGTGTCAACCGTTGAGAGGAAAAAATCTGAACAGAAATTCTTGATAATAAGAGAATGATTTTTTTTTTTTTTACCTCTTTGAAGAGACTTTTTTCTTCCTTACTTATAATTTTGGAATGTGATGTTCAATTTAATATTTAGATAATAAATCAATTTTTTTCTAAACGATTTTATTCATTTTTCTGGGATAAATATCCCTATAACCTATCAAAATTAAGATGTATCTGAAACAGCTATAATACTTTAATTCTACAAAGAATCTATCTCCCACTACTATGGACTAATAATTTGGACTATATTGCTACAATAGGAACCATACTATAATTAAACAATTTTTTCTACGGAAAAAATACAGCTAACAGTAAAGTGATTAATTAAATAGAAAAAAAGAATAGAAAATCATCGTAATTTAACGCTGCACAAACCCAAAATTTATTGATGAATCTTTTCCATGAACGCATGCCACTCTGCCAAACAGCATTGAAGATTTCATGATCATAGTTAATATTGATGCCATCATGGGAAATAGTAAAACTAAAGGCAACAGCAGAGTGTGCCTCTGCCATCTTCACAGAATGCTAAAAAACAAAAAAAGCTCATTAAAGTTAAGTTATACCATAAATAAAAAAGATAAAACTTTGCTATTGTTAGTACTTTAAAACTTTGTTACAGTAAGTTATACCATGAATAAAAATTATAAAATTTTCATGTTACGATAAACATATATAGTTTCAAAAATATTTCAAATGAACTGGCTTCAAAATAGCAATTTTTTATTTACATTATAAATGAACAATTCCACCTTTTAAAAATGTCATATCTACAGACTTTAACTCAGTTTAAAAAATTAGTGTTCAATTTTTGGGAAAATAAGTCCTCACTATCATATAAAATTACCCCAATTTTTAACTTTCATAAGTTTAAAAAAATTTTCAAATTAAAAACTAGTTGCTAATGGATTGATCTAACACAATATGTTATGACTGTAACAGCTAGTTTTTAATTTAAAAAAAAAAAAATGCAAATTTTTTCTAAATATTTTTAACAAACAAAAATTTGGGAATAACATTTATAAACATATTAACATAAAACACCATTTATTACATTAACATAACATTATTCCAAAAATAAATTCAGAATAAAAAAATTTTAAAAATAAAAAGCTGCAAATCCATAAAATGGAGAGATAGTTCTTAGGAACCAATAGTAAAAGAATTCAAAAAATTTCTTTCTAAATTGAAGACGTCTGCTTCGGTGGTCATATTTTTATTTCATTCGTTTTCTTTATTGCTATATTCTTAGGGACCAGTTTGTCAAAAGATTTGGAAACGGTCCAATCTATAAGATTACACCCTATTTGCACAATATACCAGTTACTTTGAAAACAAAATACTTCATAGTTTGTAAGAACTCCCCTAGCCATTCGTCTAGACCCATGGTGGTGACTATGGTAACGAGGCATAACTATTTCAAGCAGGAGTGAGGGATCATTGTTTAGGACAGGTTTGGGCTCAGGTCGTTGAAAGAAATTGACTTTTTTTCCCCTTCGGTCTACTGTGTTAGCCTAGAAGCTACCCACCCTGACTTTGTGGCACGGAGAGTTTACCATAGACAAACTATAGTCATTACTCTAGGAGTTTTTGCTTAAAAAATACAATCTTTTTATATTTTATTCTTATTAAAAAAAATTTGAAAATTTTCTGTAGACTTTCAGAAAATAACATGTAGACTGTAAGACTGAAAGTCTTCTGTAGATTTCTAGACTTTCAGAAAATAACATGCAAGTTTATATTGAACATACTGTTTATTTAGGTTTTCTGGGTCTACAAATCAGTAACTTAGCTTTAGGATTTCTAACACTGCAAAGCTTTTGAAACACATTTCATAAAATAGAGCTAATACAATTAAATGTTTTTTTTTTTTGTATTTATTTATTTATTAATTTTAGTAATTCTTTTCTTTANTTTTTTTTTTTTGCTTGGATCATCAATATTTTTTAAAATGTGTGACTTTGCATTGTTTCATTCCTGCTTAACAAATGCTAAAACAATTAGTAAGTGAAAGATGTCCAACTATATAGTTTACATGAAATCTGACTTAACAGAAAAATTTCTAAACTTATCCAAATTTAGTTGAGTTTAAAAACTCAATTTCGTTAAATAATTTATTTTTTTTTTAAACATCAAACGAGATATGCAAATTTTAATCCTACTGTACAACATTATCACATAAAAAAAAGTTGCTAATTGAATCTAAACATGAGTCAGAATTATTTGAAAATTTAAGACAAATCTTAGTTATTAAACATTAAAACTATTGTTTATAAATCAATTATAAAAAATAAAAAAACTCTTTAATAAACACCAGAAGTCTTTCTTAACATGTAAATAAATGTCTGGTGTAGTGCATGTACTGCTTAATATAAATGGCATTAGAACACAGCATATATGAATGAGAAATAAATTACTAAAAATAATACCCTTAATAATATAATACCCTTTCGGCAAGACTATTCAATGATTAAAATGTTACCATGAAAAGTAATTTAATGCTGACATGGCATAGAGAATGCTCCAATAGGGAATAAAATATAATCTTTCATCAGCTGTATATGCATGCCCATCAGAACCAAAAAGGCAGTGCCGGATTAAGCGTACGGGGCCCTAGGCCATTAAAATGTTTGGGGCCCTTAGATTAAATTTTTTTTCTCGTATATTTTTTTTTATTCAAATATATTCAATTATATATATTTTATTCAAATATTATTCATATTTAAAATTAAAATAAATAATAATAAATTAAATTTAACTTTATTTTGTTAAATTAAAACTANAAAGTATTTATACATCTTTTCATTTAAGAAAGCATATTTAAAATTAAAATAAATAATAATAACTTAAATTTAATTTTATTTTGTTACATTAGAACTAAAAAATAATCATAACATATATATTTTAAATTTAATTTTTTTTTAAAAATAATTGTTTTTCTTATTTTTTTTAAATTTATTTTCAAAAAATCAATATTAAGGGGGCCCTTAATCATTGGGGACCCAGGCCATGGCCTAGTTTGGCCAAATGGGTAATCCGGCACTGCAAAAAGGTTAAAACCCATAAATCATCCAATAAAATAACCTATCTATGTTTTTAAAATGCACAACACCATCCCCATGTAACTAAATTTAATTAAAAACTTCATGGAAAGTAAAAAATATTTACCGATTCTGTTTACTTTCCTTGATATTTAAATTATTTTCTCTTGAATTATTTTTCTCTATTCTTATTATTATTAATCTATTCAATTATTTTTCTCTTATCTTATGAATTATTATTCCATTTAAATTATTTTTCTCCGAATGAAGAGCAGAGAAATCCTGTAATTTCTAACAATCTCAACATTTATCTAGAATAAATGGATTTTAATTTGCTACAAATTAAACGACATCAACCACCAGAATTTTATCTTAACTCCATACTCCTTGATACAGATATTTGTTCTAATTATTGAGATACTATTTGATAAGAGTCAAGAGACATTACTACCATTAAAGAGACTTTGTACACTGATATCTATCTACGTAACACGTCAATTTAATCTGCGTCCAAGGAAGATTACAAACTATTACGTAAGCGCAGATAAAATAATGAATTTACAATGCCAAAAAAACATGCCTCATTTTATTCTATAAATGCATAGATTTTCTTTTTAAGTTTCTTTTCTTTCTTTAAAGCCAGTTCAGTATTGAGGATGCATGAAAATATGGCGAAATTTTCCCCTTTAAAAGATTTTAATGCATTGGAGACTAAACAAACCTAAATTGAGCCTAATTTTATCTATTAAATACATTTTATAGAATGTATTTGAACTATTAAATGTATTTGTATTCAATTGAGCCTAATTTTATCTATCAAATGTATTTGAAAATTTGAACACAATCTAGTCAATCATAACAATTAAAAACATTACCAACTATTACGTAAGCGCAGATAAAATAATGAATTTACAATGCTAAAAAAACGCGCCTCATTTTATTCTATAGATGCATATATTTTCTTTTAACGTTTCTTTCTTTCTTTTTTTTTAAAACCAGATCAGTTTTTAGGATGCATGAAAATAAGACAAAATGTTTCCTTTTAAAAGATTTTAATGCATTGGAGACTAAACAAACCTAAATTGAGCCTAATTTTATCTATTAAATGTATTTTATTGAATGTATTTAATCTATTAAATGTATTTGTATTCAATTGAGCTCATTTTATCTATTAAATGAATCTGAAAACTATATAGTCAATCATAACAATCAAAAATCCCTTTTTTTTCTTTCAGTTATAATTTTTTAATATTGTGTGCAATGTATCTTCGTCCCAATACAAGTACAGTAATTTTTATAACAATCTTTTATCAAACTTTATCATATGCATCAACAGGGGTCTGTCCAGGCCGAATTTACTACCGTTTAGCGGTACCTTCACAAATTCAACTTGAGGTAAAACGGTAGTTTCACAAATTCAACTTTAGGAAAAACGGTAGTTTCACAAAATACTTTTTCTTAAAATTTTATTTTTGTCTCCCTTAAGAAACGATAAATCCATATTTTTACCATGTTTTTGTGTTGACTTTTTAATATAATTTTTATAATTTTTCACAAATTATGTCAAAATTTTCACAAAATAGGTACCTTTCAGAAAATCTAGACAGACACCTGATCAATATCAAAACAAAATTTTTATCATTAACAGTATACGATTGTATTAAACAATATTTTGGACTCTCATTCCAGAAGATATTGTTAACGCATTAGAAACTAAACAAACCCAAATTTAACCTCTTTTTATCCACAAAAAGCATTTGAAAATTTGAATACTATGAAGTCAATAATAAACAATTAAAATTTTTCCCTTAAGTTATTAATTTTAATAAAGTGTGCAATGTATCACATTCTTGACTTTTATATCATAATCTTTTCTCAATTTTTATTTTAAAATCAACTGCATTCATATCAATATAAAATTTTTATGACTCCCAAAAACTGCATGATTGTATTAAACAAAATATTATGAAATAATACCCTCAAATTAATNTTTTTTTTTAAATCATTGTTTTTCTTAATTTTTTAAAATTTATTTTCAAAAAATCAATTTTAAGGGGGGCCTTAATCATTGAGGGCGCCAGGCCATGGCCTAGTCTGGCCTAATGGGTAATTCGGCACTGCAAAAAGTTTAAAACCCATAAATCATCAAATAAAATAACCTATCTATGTTTTTAAAATGCAGAACACCATCCCCATGTAACTAAATTTAATCAAAAACATCATGGAAAGTAAAAAATATTTACCGACTCTGTTTACTTTCCTTGATATTTAAATTATTTTCTCTTGAATTATTTTTCTCTATTCTTATTATTATTATTCTATTCAATTATTTTTCTCTTATCTTATGAATTATTATTCTTTTTAAATTATTTTTCTCTCAATGAAGAGCAGAGAAATCCTATAATTTCTAACAATCTCAACATTTATCTAGAATAAATGGGTTTTAATTTGCAACAAATTAAACGGCATCAGCCACTAGAATTTTATCTTAACTCCATACTCCTTGATACAGATATTTGTTCTAATTATTGAGATACTATTTGATAAGAGTCAAGAGACATTACTACCATTAAAGAGACTTTGTACACTGATATCTATCTACGTAACACATAAATTTAATCTGAGTCCAAGGAATATTACAAACTATTACGTAAGCACAGATAAAATACTGAATTTACAATGCCAAAAAAACGTGCCTCATTTTATTCTATAAATGCATAGATTTTCTTTTTAAGTTTTTTTTCTTTCTTTAAAGCCAGTTCAGTATTGAGGATGCATGAAAATATGGCAAAATTTTCCCTTTTAAAAGATTTTAATGCATCGGAGACTAAACAAACCTAAATTGAGCCTAATTTTATCTATTAAATACATTTTATAGAATGTATTTGAACTATTAAATGCATTTGTATTCAATTCAGCCTAATTTTATTTATTAAATGTATTTGAAAATTGAATACCATCTAGTCAATCATAACAATTAAAAATATTACAAACTATTACGTAAGCGCAGATAAAATAATGAACTTACAATGCTAAAAAAACGTGCCTCATTTTATTCTATAAATGCATATATTTTCTTTTAACGTTTCTTTCTTTTTTTTCCTTTTTTTTTAAAAGCCAGATCAGTTTTTAGAATGCATGAAAATAAGACAAAATTTTTCCTTTTAAAAGATTTTAATGCATTGGAGACTAAACAAACATAAATTGAGCCTAATTTTATCTATTAAATGTATTTTATCAAATGTATTTGATCTATTAAATGTATTTGTATTCAATTGAGCTTATTTTATCTATTAATTGAATCTGAAAACCATATAGTCAATCATAACAATCAAAAATCCCTTTTTTTTCTTTCAGCTATAATTTTTTAATATTGTGTGCAATGTATCTTCGTCCCAATACAAGTACAGTAATTTTTATAACAATCTTTTATCAAACTTTATCATATGCATCAATATCAAAACAAAATTTTTATCATTAACAGTATACGATTGTATTAAACAATATTTTGGACTCTTTCATTCCAGAAGATATTGTTAACGCATTAGAAATTAAACAAACCCAAATTTAACCTCTTTTTATCCACAAAAAGCGTTTGAAAATTTGAATAGTATAAAGTCAATAATAAACAATTAAAATTTTTCCCTTAAGTTATTAATTTTAATAAAGTGTGCAATGTATCACATTCTTGATTTTTATATCATAATCTTTTCTCAATTTCTTTTTAAAATCAACTGCATTGATATCAATATAAAAATTTTATGATTCCCAAAAACTGCATGATTGTATTAAACGAAATATTATGAAATAATACCCTCAAATTAATATGTCTACAAATAATACAGGTTTAAATAATTCTAAACATCTAAACGGACAAAAGACTATCATTAACAGCCTAACAGTCAAAATAAATGAATAAAATAAAATAAAAATAATAATAAAAACTTTCCTCTTCAGGTCAAAATCCTCACTAAATTGATGATTGCATTTTAAAAAATTATTCAAACATTAGAAGAAATATTCATTAATTCTAATTCGCTATTCATTAATTCTAATAAAATTTAAATAAAGTAAAAAAGAGAAGAAAAAAAAAAACACTTTAAATGTCATTAGAAAAATGACATTTAAAACAGTAGAAAAAGGTCAGAAACTTAAATTTTTATAGGTTTTTAAAGAACTTTTTTAATTTTTCCTAATTTTTTAATTTGATTTGAAATTCCTTGAGTATTCAGATTTTCCCTATTGCTGAGCACCCTGCTATAATAGTTAATAAAAGCCAATAATTTGATTTTTATCATGAATAAAATTAAATTTTCTGGGTTTACTAATCCAATAGATTAAAAATTATGTTAATGTCATATTAATATTTTATTTTAGATAATTACAAATAATTATCATAGGTCATTTAATCTAATTAGACCCACAAACTGAACACAAAAAGTATTTTTAAATCAACATATAACAATAAGAAATTTTAAAAATTTCTTCCTAAGCAGAAGAAATAGTATAAAGGAAGAAAAAAATGATCTATTAGAAAATTAAAAAAAAGGTTTAAATTAGAACTTATCTTTTCTTTTGAGCTCATAACATATTTTTTTATTTATTTTAGGTTATAAAATTTAAATTTTTTGATAGCTTAGCAACTTTAATTAAATAATCGAATTTGAAATAACATCTGACTCGCACAAGTAAAAATAATATTTGTAAAAAAAATCAATTTTTGAAATTTTTTAATATTTTACATTTTCCTTGTTGCCCTTCTCCCAAGAAATTTCTTATGGTATTCTTATCTTTACTCATTTTTAACTGTCAACGCATCAAGGTATGCCTAATTTAGGCAAATGTGTGAATGACTTTTTCAGAAAACTTGAGTTAGAATTCCTATTTTCAGAATGTTAGAATTATTGCAAATACAATGATAAAATTTATCAGTACTAAATAGAAAATATTTCTTTCAATGAAAAAATTATATAATCACTACAAAAAGGTAATGAAAGACCTTTAAATCCTAATAAGATAATTGCTTATGCAGATTTCTAAAGAAATAAGAAAAGATAAAGCAACAAAAACTGATAAGATATAAAAATAAAAAGTCATAATAAAATTATCTACGTTAATACGAGACAAAGTTCAGGGTTCGTTCTTCAGCCCTTTGACCACTGAACTTTTATTTAGCTTATCAATGGAAGAAAAATCACAAATAATATTTATTTATAAGCCTACAATACGGCAAAAAAAAAAAATGTGAGCTTGAAAACATATTAAGAAAATAAAGCCGGAACTCAGTAGTTGAGTTATTCCAAATCGCAAAAAAAAATAATAATAATAAATTATTAACATGCATATATTTAAATTCCAATGGCTTGCTTGAATATTTATTTCTTCATTTTTTAATGAAAATAAAAACATATTTTGTTAGAAAGAACATTTATTTAAGAAGATATTAATAAAATTAAGTGGGTACTTCTGTGAGCTTACTTATATTTAACTAACTTAACTCATTTTGTAGAAATAGAATTACTTGCAACAAATAGTGTTAACTTAAGAACATTTTAAAAGAATAATGTGCACACACTTTCCAATTTTTATTCTTTCTAACAATGATTTTCTCTAATGGTGGTGAAATTATAAATAAATAATCAATTGTAGTTTTAAAAAAAAAAAGTATGGACACTTTCTTCATAAAACTATTATGCTTCTATACATATCTTTAATTTATAAATATGTAGTGATACTTAACATTTTAAATTTGTAAACATAAATATAAAAATGAATATTAAAATATAACTTTCGCTATACGAATCTTCAAAAAAAAAATTAGTAAGTATTGCAAGTATTGAAGATATACTTAGAAATAAATAATTCTAAAATATTCCTTTTAAATAAGAAAAATTATTGAAATATAAACCTGAATTCATTTAGTTAACTTAACCTGTAACTGTTTACATATCCTCTAAAGTGCATGATTTATCAAAATTACTTTTAAAACTGATTATCTTCATTAATATTTTTGCATTTTGAATTCAGAATGAACTTCTGAACAAATAAGAAATGTTCTAGAATAAAATGCAATTAAATATTTATGTTATCTTATAAAAAGATTAACATTTGACTTTTATAATAGGGATCGTGTTACAATACACAATATCCTCAGAAAGTTTAGTGCCTTAAATATTTATCCAAAAACGTAAATAATCGAGCAAGCATTTATATGACAAAACTGACATTCAATTTTCTCACTCAATACACTTTTCTGTTTATTCAATTTTATAACTGAAATTTTATAACCGAGTAGTTTAAGTAGACTATAATATAATAAACATAAAATATGTACATTAAACAACACAGTAGTTCAGATTTTGAAATACAGCTTTTCGAAAGAATAAAATGTTCGCCGATTTATAAATGAAGGTCAACTAGTTTTGTTTTGCTAGTTACAGCTTCAGACACAATAATGTCTATTTTTCCGTCAAATTAAACGATTGATATTAACAAACTGATGAATTGATTGAAGTTTTGATCTTTTCAAGTTAGATCTATCATAAGTTTAACTTTTAAAAGTAACTTTTAACTATTGTAATATAGTAAAAGTCATTCGTCGTTTTCTTATTAAAATTTTTAAAAAAAATTCTTAATTAATTTACAAAAAAATATGAAGTATATACAAAAATTGAGTGCAGAAAAAAATTACATTATTGCACAGTAACCAGATAAACTTTAAAAATGCGTTTAAGTATACATCAGATTTTTAAAAAAAAACGCATTTAAAAAAAAGAAATAAATGACTTACCGAAACTGCGGAATAAAAATTTAAGATAATATTCAAGTCCTATCTCATGTGTCACACATAAATGAACAGAAACTACAGTCTTGGAATGATCAAAATAGTTTATTAATTTGCATAAATATTAATCGTAACTCAAATATTCCAGAACATATAAACGTTCACAGCTTCTTAATCCAAATTTCAGAAATGATTTCAGTCTTTACTTTCTCATATCACATAGTCAAATGATTTGTGTGGGTCTTGATTAAAAAACAAGACCCACTGCGCATGCTCGAAACAGCCGAGCCTTTCAGAGAATGATAAACAGCTGTGTTGCAATATTTGTAGTTTACTATCTTTTTCGAGGGGATGATTTTGATTGGCGGATTGAGGGAAGAATTTGGAGGCACGGCAGAAGACGTAACTAAAATGGCTTGAAAATCTTTGTGCAAAATGAATCCCTTACAGTTTGACCTTGATTTTCGTTGTCCTTGACTCTATTCCCCCCCATCCACGCTTACCTGTCCTGACAAGTATTGAAATTTGAAATGGGTCAGTTCACCGAAAGAAAGAATTTTTCCCTTTTAACCTCTTTCAAAGTTACTTTTCTTCCACTATTTTAAAATGTAATTATTTGAAAGTAATTTTTGCAGGGCCGTACTTAGGGGGTGGTGAACTGGATTTAATTTATAGGTTTATTCAAGTTGATGAAAATTTAAAGAATTTTTGATATTTTATCGTTGATATTTTATCGTTTTATATTTAGACTACTTACAACGATAAAATATATAATTTGCAAATTATTATATGTTCAGTGGAGCGAAAAAATTTTCCCCTTTATATCTCTTTTCTTTCGCTATTTTAAAAAGTCATTATCTTGAAGACATTTTGTATACTTTTTGTTAGGCCGAGCAAAGGGTGGTGCGTTGGGGAAGGGGAATTGGATTTCATTCATACGTTTATTCAACTTGATTAAATTTTAATATTCAAAGAATTTTTAATTTCTTACAGTCGCAAATGTTTATACTATTACAATATATAAATAATTTGTAAATTATTATATTTTCACTAAAAAAAATAATTTTTTCTTTCATTAGGTCTTCAAATCGCTTTTCTTTCGCTGTTTCAAAAAGTAATTATCTGAAAGTAATTTTGCGTAATTTTTGTAGGGTCGTGATAAGTAATTAGATTTAATTTATAACTAGACTAGCGAAATCGGTTGAATAGCTCCTGAGAAATCGAAGTTTAAAAAAGTCGTATATTTCAAATACGATTTCTCAGGAACTATTTAACCGATTTCGTTCAAATTTTGCATTTTGGCATATAAAATTAGATACTTTAAAATTATGCAAAAATTTATATACCTTACAATTCAAAAGTTTGCAGACTGTTATAAAATAAAATAATAAAAAATAGTAAATATTTACTAAAATTTATTTTTTGCGTGGAATTATCTATGGATAAACGAATTTTGTAATTGTATGCAAAAAATTTTCACTCCGCTTAAATAGTCTCGATACGTAGCAAAATACTCAAAAAATAAAATTAACATTGGTGCCTCCTTACTTTAGATCGCTCTCCTGATCAAACTATGGGGACCATATATCCCAGATAGCGGTTGCCTCCTATATTTTGGGGGTCAAAATCCGAATTCGTCTTAAAAAAAGATATGTTTATTCAGAAAAAATACGTTTTTGTGCCTGATTTCGTAACTTAAAATATCGTCTGCACTAAATAATAAGCATATTTTAAGTCACCTACTCCGAAGAACGTGCAGATCCGATCATTAAATCCAAAGTTATTCAATATGGTCTTCTTTTTTATTTTTTATTTTATTTGGCTCACTATACATTTTCTCCATCAATTTTGCTTTTTAGTTCCATGCTTATTTTTATTTCAATTATTACCTTTTACCAAAATTAATTATTATTGGAATTAATAATAAAAAAAATTTCATGTTTATCCTCAAGGAATTAATTTCCATTTCTCCATTGTTCTTCCTTTTCAATTAAAAATTTGTTTTATTTTATTTCACTTATCAATTATTTTGTTTCAATTATCATTTATTTTATTTTATTTCAATCACCATTTATTTCAAATTATTTAGTTTTATAGTTTTAAACAAAATAAATAAATACATAGGTTCAGATAACCTCAGAAATTCTAATTTTGTGACATACTCCGCCTATGCTCCCACGATCACGCTGGTCATTCAGGTAACCTCTGGCATAACGAATAAAAAAAAATTAGGGATTACAGGACGCTCAATAAACAACTTTTTTGATCAGATTTATAAGCTAACAAATATCACTGATGTACAGTACGTAAAATAAAAAACAGACTATTCTGAATAACTTTTGATCTAATGATCCAATCTTCACGTTCTAGAACTCAATCCGAAAGATTTAATGAGGTGACCTGAAATATGCTTATATTAATTAGTGCAGACGATATTTTAAGTTTCGAAATCACACACAAAAACGTTTTCAGATTTCTGACCCTCAAAATATATGGGGTAGCCGTTATCCGGGAAATATGGTCTCCATAGTTTTGTCAAAAGAGAGGGCAAAAGTTTGGACCAGTATAATTTCATTGTTTGCATATTTCGCCATATCTCGAGAACTTTTTAAGTTAATTAAAAAACTTTTGCACACAATTATGAAAATTGTTTGCACACAATTATGTCATTGTTTGCATATTTCGCCATATCTCGAGAACTTTTTAAGTTAATTAAAAAACTTTTGCACACAATTATGAAAATTGTTTAACCAAAGATAATTCCGTGCAAAATATAACTTTTAGTAAATATTTATCCCTTGTTATTACTTTATTTAATAATAGTCAAAAAAAAATTTAAATGCAAGGTATAAAAATACTTTATTTTTAAGGATGTAATTTTGCATTGCAAAATACAAAATTTATGCGCAATTGGTAGAATAATTCCTGAGAAATCAAATTCTAAAAATACGACTTCTTTAAAATTCGATTTCTCAGGAACAATTCGATCGATTTCACTCAAATTTGTAATTTGCTATTTAAGTTTACATTCTTTAAAACGGTGTAAAAAATGTATACCTTGCAATTCAAAATACTTGACTATTATTAAATAAATAATAAAAAATGATAAATATTTGCTAAAAGTTATATTTCTCATGGAATTGTCTAGGATGTATGACTTATATAACTTTGTCAAAAAATTTTCACTTTGCTTAAAAAATTCTCGAGATATGATGAAATACGTAACAGGTTAAATTAACATTAAGGAGTCCAAACTTTGGACCTCCTTCCTAACCTAACTATGGGGACCATATTTCCCAGTTTGCGGCCACCCCCTATTATTTGGTTGTCGGAAATCCGAATTTGTTGGAAAAAAGGTTTGTTTAATCAGAGGAAGTATGTTTTTACGTTTGATTTCGTAACTTAACATCTTCCCTGATTATCCCGAGTTAACTCGGGTATGTACAGATTGACCATATTTATTATCCCGAGAAAACTCGGGCATAGCAGAATTTGTCAGTACGTTTTGTTTTATTACGTTTTTACTCGGCGGAAGAAAATAATGAATAATATTGCTGAAATATATATGGGTGATTCTCACGAAATATGACAATTCACTGTCCCTTGTTCCAAGATCTAATACTATATACCAGGGGTTTCCAACTTACATGAGGCCGCGGGCCACAATTAAAAACACAAATCAAATGGCAGGCCACAACTTTATCAGAATTTTATGAAGGAGTTTTTTATGTTTGAAAGAACATTAAATATTACTGTCAGATTTTTAATAAGTTGTACAAAATAAAAGTATTGAATTACAAATTAAAATAAGAAGTAGATTTCTAAAAATATTTAATTGTTATTAATAATATTTTTAAAAATATTAAATAAATAATAAAAATTCGGGCTATAATAACTTTAATGTGCACCTATGTATTAAACAAATAATGTGCAACAGAAATCTAATTGCAAAGATATAAAACTTTAAAAAGGTTGGTATTAAAACTTGCATAGTATCACACAAAATATTCAATGAGAAAATTGAGATTTGTCTGCTACAACCACCACAGAATAGATATTTACATTTAAAATTTACAAATGTGTGTGTAAATATTTTCGTCCAAAATGAGTGAGTGGTTTCAGAAAGTTAAATCGGATAATTTCTTCGAGAAAATTTCTGATACGTACATGCTAAATTATATTCACAAAATACAAAAAAATGGAATAAAATGGAGCTACATATACGATTATTTTTGCATTTGAATAAATATTTTCCTGGGTGCAAAACCTGAGAAATAAATTTTTTTTTCACCGTGGGTATGCTAAATTTCACAGATACGAAGAAATTAGGTTTTTATTAACGAGAAAAGTACTTTAAACCCATTCTGATTATTGATTCTTTACGAAAATTGTCCGCAAAAAAATTATAACTAATATAGTTAAGTTCGCGGGCCGGATGCGGCCCCCGGGCCACCAGTTGGAAACCCCTGCTATATACTAAAAGAACTTTTTTTAAAAAAACAATTTACAAATTGCACTGCTGTTAGCATTCTAAAATGACTTTGCACTAGCATTGACTGTTTTGTATAATAGAAAAATTTAATTGAACTTCAAAATGTCATTTTCCTGGCATGTCTTAAACAATATTTCCAATAATAACTAGCTTCAAAACTTCCCATAAATTTTTCAATATCTAACTTTTTTTATCTCAACCGGTGTAAGCATTTCTAGGATAAACGCAGAGGGTATTGTTTACAAAAACTTCGTTTGAAATAATTTTTTCTGTCCAGAATTTGTTTGTCCCAAGAAAATCTGTCATTTTCCTGGCTACTTTTATTTAGTGGTTTATAACTAAAATAGATAGAGCCAGCAATCAATAACTTATGTTAATAGATTGATTAGATACCCTCCTATATGAATGTGTCTTGTTGCATGAATAAAGAACCAATTTTCTGGTTCAAAATCTATTTCAAAAAATTTTTCAAGATGTGTAGGTTTTTGTGTTGTCATTTTCCTGGCTTCTTGAAATCATTAATAACATAAACTATACATAGATTTATCTGAGTTATTTTAAGAAATCCTGTTGTTTTCTGCAGAATGTAAACGTCTTAGGCCAAAATATTAAATTAAAGTCAAGTTATATGCTATAAAATGACGAATTTATCATTATCCAGGCTGTCATTTTCCTGGTTTATGAATTCCACGACATTGAAGTGTTGCCAGAATTTTTTTTTAACTGTTATTACTGTTAGGAGGAAAAGCAAATATAAACCTAATACCAAGTTTATGTATGATTGTAATATGGTTGAATGCAATCAAAGTTATTTATTTAATGATTGATTATTATACACAATTTTATTCTGTACATATCAGCAACAAAAATTTTTTTGATTCTTTCTACAGTGGATAA